CAGATTAAGGCTTCAACATGTGAATTTGGGGAAGGACACAGCTCAGTCCCTAACAGAAAGGTAGTCTAGGGCTTGACAGGCATCAGGATGGATTCGCAGAAAACACTGAGCTCTGGAGAAAGTTCAGGGAAAGTATGCAGTTGGCCCCGCGAGAAGCCGGCAGCAGGAGGAATGACTGCTGAGTGAGAATATTCTGGGAACTCAGAACCGAGGGCACCCAGATTGAGCTGCGGCCCCAGGGTGGTCTTCCTGCAACAGAAGCAGGAACCTGCCACAGCGCCGCCTGCGGGGGATTCGGGAGCGGGGCGGCTGTGGCTCTACAGGCGTCTTCAAACTACGGCCCGCGGGCCACATGCGGCCCGCAGAGGAGTCTGATCCGGCCCGCCAGGTTTTTTGGGCAGTGAGCGCAGCCGAGGTGTTACAGTAGGAATTAGTAGTTCATATAGTCCGGCCCTCCAGCTCTCTGAGGGACCGTGATCTGGCCCCCACTTTAAAAAGTTTGAGGACCCCTGCAGGGCTGCGGGGCCTCCTCGCCCAGGGCACGGCCGTGAAAATAAGCATGTGGACATCTGCACTGTCACCCCGTCCTGTCTGAGCATCTCCGCACGGAGAAGACTGAGGGCACCGGGTGAAGGGGGACCCCGTCTGCCACTCAGTCCTCCCACTCGGTTGCCTCTGTGCCCTCACGGCTGGCTCCGCGGGTCAGCTGATGGCACGGAGGAGGGTTATTGCAACAGCCTCACCTGGCCGGCCTCCAGGCGTCTTTGCTCCTGCCCACGCCGCCTACCGCTCCTGGAGCCCAACTCTGACCCCGTCACTCTCTGCTCACCGGCCGCGATGGTGCCCAACTGAGCCCGGCTCCCTGGGCTGAGGTCCAGGCCTCTGCAGTCTGACTTGTCCCTGAGTCCCTCCTGTCGGCTGTCCTCCGGCCTCAGGGGTTTGAGCCCATCGTGATCCAACCGAGGTTCTGAGTTCCGAGGATATTCCCTCCGCCACGCGTGGTGCCCATACTCTTCTCTGGGTCTCAGACGTTCTCTTCCCTGGGGGCATCGTCGGGCCCAGGGTCCTGGCGTCCCTGCGACCAGGTAACACCGGCCAGGGAAGCCGATGCTGCGAGGAAGGAGCGGGAATGGGACCGGGGGAGTGACGTTGGCAAGAAGAGTGGAGCCTTTCTTCACGTTCAAGCCCGGCCCTCTGCCCGCCCGAGGCACCTGCTCCTCCGAGCGAACAGACGGAGGTGGAATGGGGAAACTGGGAGCCCCTGACACGGAGTGAGGGCCAGGCCTGCGCGGGACCGCACTGGTCCTCGCAGCCACCGTGCGGGTCTGACTCCGAGCCCTCGCCGCCCCGGCACCCGAGAGCCTTGTGCAGCGGACACTGGCCCCCTCCGCCTGCTCACAGACTCATCCCCAGGCCTCACCCCGAACACGGGCATTAACACCCCGAGAAGCAGCGAGTGCTTACGCCACCCCTGCTGCATTCAGCTCCTCTCCCGCGGCCGTGGGACAGCGCCCTCCGGGGTCAGAGAAGGACGCCGAGGCTGGGTCAGCTGTTGCCGGCCACCTGAGCGTGTCTCATTCTGCTGAGAGGATGTGGGGTGCACAGCCGGGCAGGGAGAGGCCCCGGCCAGTGCCCACAGCCAACAGGCAGGACCACGTGGCGGCCCCGTCTGTGCTGAGGCCTCCTCCCGGGCGGGCGCCAGCTCTGAGCCAGCAAACAGCATCCAGCAGCTGAAAACAGCCTTTACTGCCAGGGTCCCTTTATCCTGTGACTTACGTCTGAGGCCCCCAAACCCCAGCACCTGAGAGCGGAGGCCATCAGCCACCCGAGGGTGGAGGCCGAGCTCCGACTGTGTCTGAGGCCCTCCGTCACCCTGGCCCCTGAGCCCGAGTGGCACCTGCCAGCTCTGCCCCCCGCCAACTACTTCCTCCCCAGACGATTCGCTGCTTCGGTTCGCACGCCTTGGGGGTCAAGGCTGCACGGACTCGGGAGCACAGGCCGCTCAGCTCCTACTGAGCATCGAGAAGACGTTACTGCAAGTCGGACCGCGCTGCGGGGTCTCGGGTTCTAATCCTGAGCAAGGGCAGGTACCCACGTGGGGAGGCAGCCCACACTGCTGTCCCCCTCCTCCTCCTCCCCTCCCCGAAAAGCAATGGGGAAAACACCCTCGGGTGAGGAATAACAAAAAAGGCACAGAACACAATGCCATCAGGACTCCAGGAGCCACTGCACAGCGACAGTTTGGAGTTTGGTCGGCTCCCTCCAGGTGCGGCTGAAGGTGCTGTGTCTCCAGCTTGGCCGGCCCCCAGCGCCGAGCCTTTAGTGGCTGCGCTGGGGGAGGCAGGCGTGGGGACAGCCCTTCCCTCAGGGTTGCTGTGATGGGAGTTGCCCAATCCGCTGGGCTTCAACCACCGGTGGGAAAAGAAGCTTTGGCCTCCAACGCCCCAGGCTCGGAGGCGCGGGGGCAGGGCTGAGTGTGTAAAGGTGTTACACAAACAGTGAGAACAGCTTGAGGTTTCCCAGGAACAGTGTTTCCTCGTCCATCAGGCTTTCTCATCGCTGTTGAGACACGGGCACACTCGACCTCTTCCCTCCTCCCCAGGCTCAGGACTCGTTGTCCTAGCGAGGAGGCGTCCGGGAGAGGGCAGTGGGTTTTAGGTGCGTGCGTGTGCGTGTGTGCGAGTGCGTGTGCGTGTGCGTGTGCGTGTGTGTGTGTGTGTGGCGGGGGTGAGGGTGGGGTTAGAAATGAGCATTTATAAGCTCCTCACAAACAGTTCTCAGTGAAACACGGCGGCATGTTGGGGTTTTGGAGGATTTGATGGTTTCCCTGTAATTCCCTCCCAACGGCAGGGGCTTTGCTTTGTCCCCTCCCATGACCGGGGAGCCGACAGGGACGGGGAGTGAGTCTGAGTACGGGTGTGGGTACGGATGTGGGTGTGAGCTGAGAACGTTCGCCCTGCAGGAAGGCTCCAGAAGGTCCAAGTCGGAGGGGCCTCGCCACTGCTTGCATGTGGAACCCACTCTGGGACATGCTCCTCTCCCCTCCCTCCCTGCTCCTCCCTGTCCCGCCCGGAGCCACATCTTCCGCTTCCCAGGCTTCGGCCCTGACCAGCCCCCGTGGCCGCCCACGGCTCCCCTTCCCCTGACACTCAGGGGAGCTCAGGCCTGAGCCCCGGGTGAGAGACCACGTAAAACCTGGCCTGTGTGTTTGTTGTTTTCTTGGCTCTTGGCCTTCATGCCGCCGGCCGTGCGGCTGCCAGGCCCCGCCGTGACCACGTGGGAGGCCCGGGCGCCGGCCGTGGGAGGCGGTCCGCCCGCTTGTACTGTACACAGAGGGCAGAGATGGTATCGAACCGGCACGGGGTGGCATGCAGGAGCCCGGAGCCCTTCTCCGTCCTTCACCCCCACACACCGTCTGGGCCTCAGCTCCTGTGCCTCAGGAGGGCAGGGAGCTGGGAGGAGGGAGCTGGGAGGAGGCCCACGGGGCGTCCCTGCAGGCCGTGTAACCAGCAGGCTGCTGTCTGCTCCTGCTCTGGCAGCCTGGCCTCGTTCTTACTCCCCGAGGAACGGAGGCGTTGAAGCCAGGAGGGCTTGGGACGCTGGTAAGAGCCTTCCTTTTTTTTTTTTTTTTTTTTTTTAAATGTATTTTATTGATTTTTTACAGAGAGGAAGGGAGAGGGATAGAGAGTTAGAAACATTGATGAGAGAGAAACATCGACCTGCTGCCTCCTGCACACCCCCTACTGGGGATGTGCCAGCAGCCAAGCTACATGCCCTTGACCGGTATCGAACCCGGGACCCTTCAGTCCGTAGGCTGACGCTCTAGCCACTGAGCCAAGCCGGTCAGGGCGGAGCCTTCCTCTTAGCTACGGGAGCCAGAGCTGCAGCCGGTGGTCTCCACATGCGTCCTGTCCTCCTTGGCCCAGGACCTGGCTCCTGCCAGGGCCGCGGGAGGGAGGGATGGTGCAAATGGAAGCTGCTTCGGGCGCCAGAATCCGGCCTGGCCCTGGGAATCCTTCTCTGCCAGGCATCCCTGCTCAGTTCTGCCTAGAACTTTAGGGCCCGGAAACCTACTTTCTACCTCATTTCCAGCGTCTGAGGCCGGCCACTCTGTTTCTTTCCTGAGTCTTCCTTGTCCTGTCCTGTCTCCCCTAAGTCCCATGAGTCCTTCCAGTCTTGGAAGAGTCTTCCTCTAGCAAGCCGTTCTGCGTTCTTCCCACCCACTGCCCACTCCCAAGGCCTCTGTCCTATCCTCCCCTTTACCTGCTTCTTTCCTGGCGGGCCATTCCCCACGTGTCATTGTGAACGTTGGGTCTCCCCAGCATGAGAGGCACAGGGTCTGCCTTGTCTACAGGTTTACCCTCACTGCCTAGAGCTTGCCAGGCACTTACAATATTTGAATGAAAGGGGGCTTGTATTTTCTGAAACATTTTAGGGCATGAATGGGTCCTAAATGTCTTTATGTCAGGGGACAGAGAAGAATTTGGTTTTGGAGCTATTGCAATGAAATCATCTGTGTCTAGCCGAAACCGGTTTGGCTCAGTGGTAGAGCGTCGGTCTGCGGACGGAGGGGTCCCAGGTTCGGTTCTAGTCAGGGGCATGTACGTTGGTTGCAGGCACATCCCCGGTGGGGGGTGTACAGGAGGCGGCTGGTCGATGTTTCTCTCTCATCGACATTTCTAGCTCTCTATCTCTCTCCCTTCCTCTCTGTAAAAAATCAGTAAAATATATTTAAAAAATAAATAAAAATAAATAAATAAATAAATAAATAAATAAATAATCTTTGTCCAGAACCCGCACAAATATGTGCATCTGAAACTCGGGTAACGAGGGTATCTTTGGGGAAATAGGTTGGAAATCATTAGTGAGTCCTGGAAGGAGGCCTCCTGTACCCCCAATGTTGCTGCTCAGTGGCCTGGATTTGGTGTGACTGGAGAAGGACAGGGCCCGGAGGACGGGTGCTCGCGCCCGCACATTGACCCGTTTGTCTCTCCTCACAGAAATGGCCTCCGGCTTCAGCCCCCGAGAGTGCGCGCTGTCTAAGCAGGACGGGCAGAGCTACGGCTTCTTCCTGCGCATCGAGAAGGACACGGCCGGCCACCTGGTGCGGGTGGTGGAGCCGGGCAGCCCCGCGGAGCGGGCGGGGCTGCGGGACGGGGACCGAGTTCTGCGCATCAACGGCGACTTCGTGGACGGCGAGGAGCATAAGCAGGTGGGCGGGCGCCTGTGGCCTCGCCTCCGGGCCTCTCCTGTCCCTGTCTGTGCTGAGGCTTGTTTTGAGGTCAATCGAGATTTCCTGGCTGCCACGGGCAGGGCAGGGCAGGGCAGGGCACCCTGATGGCTGTGCTTTCTGCCAGCAATCACATCTCTCACAGTAAACCGAGAACTGCACACGTTATCCCTGGATTTCAACCATGTCAGGCCTAAAATGCATTGCATATCGCCTAGCACACGGACTAATTTCATATCCATTATTTTGTTAAATCCTCATCGCAGCCCCAGAGGTACATGTTACCATTTCACAGAGGAGAAGTGGAGGCTCACATAGCTTGTATTCAGGCAGAGAACACGTGGAAATGCCTGGCCTTACCCCAGCTTCGCTGCCTGATGCCATCTTCACAGACAGGGAGGACCTCTGTGCTCTAAGGTGGCATTCACCCTTAGGAAGGACCGGCCCTTTTATAAAAACTATCTTCATTGATTTGAGAGAGGCAGGGAGAGGAGGAGAGAGAAACATCAATGATGGGAGAGAATCATTGATCGGCTGCTTCCTGCACACCCCCTACTATTAGGATCGAGCCCACAATCCTGGACATGTGCCCTTGACCGGAATCAAACCCGGGACCCTTCAGTCTGCAGGCCGATGCTCTGTTCATTGAGCCAAACCAGCTAGGGCAGGACCGGTCCTTTTAAGAGTCCCCTGGGCAGGGGTGGCGACCCTCTTGATTCCTAATCTGCACGGGGCTCTCGGGAAGGCGGGGTGTCAGGGACCCGCCATCAGGATCTCCAGGGCCAGGCGAGGAGCCAGCAGCGCCCTCTGGGGGTGAACGGGCTATCGGTTAAAGCTGTCCTCTCTCCGAGGTGGTGGATCTGGTCCGGAACAGCGGGAATTCGGTGACTTTCCTGGTTCTGGATGGGGATTCCTACGAGAAGGCCGTGGAGGAAAAGGTGGACCTGAGAGAGCTGGGCCAGCGTCCGAAGGGGCCGAGCCTGAACGATAAGAAGCTGCCCCCTGTGATGAACGGAGGCGCCCAGGCCCGGGCCCCGCCGAGGCTCTGCTACCTGGCGAGGGAGGGGGGCAGCTTCGGCTTCTCTTTGAAGACAGTCCAAGGTGAGCCCGAGGCGGGGCCAGACCACCGGCTTTCCCGGAAAACGATGCTGGCGGTGAATGCCTTCTTGGGCTTACCTTTTCAGTTGCTATGGCTACCCAACAGCAGCCACACGCTCTCCCTCCTCGCCAGCCCTCCCCTGGCCTCGCACCATTGTGCAATGTGGGATCAGACATTGGACGGCAGCAGGGTTCGGGGTCGCAACCACTGAGCCACACCAGTTGGGTCCTAATAGCTACTTTTGAATAAGAATCAATTTTTTCATCTCTTGGAGTACCCAGGCTGTCACTCATTTGTTTGAGAAATTCTTGTTGAGGATACTGCAACCCCCCACCCTCCTATGACGTGTAAGTTGTACCGGCTGCTGTGGCCCAGCCTCACCGAGGTGTGCCCCTGACCTTCGCCGAGAGGTACATAGTGATCTGAAAACCCCAGCCGTCAGCAAGTCCTAGAAGTTCTGTTTCTGGATTCTCAGAGGTGCGGGCCGGCCTGTGCCCAGTTGACAATGGTTTTATGATCGTGGTTTCTGTGGGATCGAGGCTGGAACCTCCCGGCTCCATCTCTAGTGCGGCTCCTCCCATGTCCTGGTCCTGGAGAGGCACTGGCTGTGCACAACTCGGTCAGCGATAAAGGGCAAATCCTAGAGAACCGGTAGCGAGTGACACAAGCCAGACAGAAGGGGCATTTCTCAAGCTTGCCCGTTACTGGGCAGCATTTCTCGGAAGTCCACGGTCAGTAAGATGGTAAAAATCAGGTTCTATTCCCTTGGCCCTTGGACTAGTGGGTGTGGCGAATGGCTTAGATCAGCTTCATGAAGAACACGTTTTCTTTTTTTCTTTTTTAATTTTTAATTTTAATATTTTGATTGATTTTGTACAGAGAGGAAGGGAGAGAGAGAGAGAGAGTTAGAAACATCCATGAGAGAGTCATTGATCAGCTGCCTCTTGCACACCCCCTACTGGGGATATGCCCGCAACCAAGGTACATGCCCTTGACCGGAATCGAACCCGGACCCTTCAGTCCCCAAGCCGACGCTCTATCCATTGAGCCAAACCGGTCTCGGCCGAAGAACATGTTTTCTTCATGACAAAGACCTAAGGAGGAACAGGCAAACTGGAAGGCAGTTCGCCCAAATCTTGGGTCCTGGGAAGGCAGAGTGTAAGTTAGTTACTGGTATTCCTTGCAAATAATGTATTTAGTCATTATAATGCAACTCTTTACCTCGACTGAATATCAGTATCTTGAGCAAATTGACAGAATTACTTTAAGACATCACACCACCTGCGAACCTGATGGCAGGCACGTATGTGCCCCTCCCTCCCTCTCTCCCTCCCTCCCAGCCTCCCTCCCGCGCCTCTGTCCCCTTCCGCCTGTGCCCCACCCATGACATTCACGGCTGCCCTGTTGGATGGGTGATGCCAGTGCTGGTTAAAGAGGACGGAATGGAGTGGGTGCCTTCCCATCCCACAGATGCGAAGAGAGGGGGCTCAGGTCAGTGAGGCAGCATGGGGAGGAGGGGGTTTGGTTCTTTCTGGTTCAAGAGGCGAGTGCCACCTGAGATTCCTTCTTGGTATCCAGTTGGGCTCAGAAATTCTGTTCAAATCAAGAGACCAGGTGAGTCATGGCGGTGGCAGCCTTTGCTCGGAGCTGTGGTTATAAAGCTACGTCGGAGGCTGAAGGCTATTGAGTTAGCTCTGCAATGGGACCTGTCGGGAGGAAGCCCGTGAACGCGGTGCCTCCTGTGACACCGCCCCCCTCTCCGCAGGAACGAAGGGGGTGTACATGACCGACATCGCGCCGCGGGGTGTGGCCATGAGGGCGGGAGTCCTGCCGGACGACCGCCTAATCGAGGTGAACGGGGAGAACGTGGAGGAGGCCACCCACGAGGAGGTGGTGGAGAAGGTACTGTTCTCGCCGCCCCTTTCCCTCGCTCTCACCGGGGAGACAGGGAGGCGGGATGACGGCTTCTCAGGGAGAAACGCAGTGATGGGAGGCCGCCCTCTGTGGAAGAGCAGACAGCCTCGCTGGTGGCCTGAGGCGTGGTTAGGATTTGGGAATAAGGCCTTTGGGAGATTCGTATTATTTTGAAGAAAGTGTTTTAACTTTATCTTTTAAACCTTATTGGACCCGATTGTAGTAAATTTAATGTTGAATTTATAGTACATTTAATGTTGACCCCATGCTACGAAACTACTTTCTTTTTTTTTCTTTAAAAAAAAAAATATTTTATTGACTTTTTACAGAGAGGAAGAGAGAGGAATTGAGAGTTAGAAACATCGATGAGAGAGAATCATCGATCAGCTGCCTCTTGCACGGCCCATACTGGGGATGTGCCTGCAACCAAGGTACATGCCCTTGACCGGAATCGAACCCGGGACCTTTCAGTCCACAGGCCGACGCTCTATCCACTGAGCCAAACCGGTTTTGGCGACAAAACTACTTTCATACAAGCTGCAAGGTAGCCAGCGTGGCGAGGCACAGAGAGCTAGAGCCGGGGCGTTCTGGAAGGCAGCTCCCCCAAATCTTAGGGCCCAGCACAGCCCTAGGACACCTGGCAAACAGTCCGGGGGTTCCCTTTAAGATCCTCTGGAACCTTCTCCTGGTAGAATAATCCTTCACGGTCTAACTTCACTTCTTCTCCTTTTCCAAACTCCCTTTGCGGCTCTCACCTACGGCCCTCTCCAGGCTGTCTGAGTTCCGGCTCTTCCTGGGGTTCAGTTAGAGGGGGATCTTCCTTAACAAAGGCAAACAGGACAGCCGTGGACGTGGGGGTGGACACACACCAGCGAGTGGCGGTAAACAGTGGGAACCTGCGTCTCACACCCCACATTTCCTGCTGAGCCCAGAGACGGGGCACAGAGACTGGCCTGTTTCCCGGCGTGGTTCCTGGAGCCGAGGCTGGGCCTCACTGTGTGTGTCGTTGCAGGTGAGGAAGTCGGGAAGCCGTGTCGCGTTCCTGCTGGTGGACAAGGACACAGACCGGCACCACAAGGAGCAGAGCATCCCCGTCCAGAGAGAGGCAGCCTGCTTCCAATCACTGCCCCGCCAGCCCCGGCTGGTAGAGATGAGGAAGGGCAGCAATGGCTACGGCTTCTACCTGCGGGCGGGCCCGGAGCAGAGAGGTAAGGCAGGAGGGAGCGGGGCACTTGGCTCTTCATCCCAGCCTGACCCGGAGCGCCCTGAGGCCTGCCACCCGGCATGGGCAGGAGTGAGGAGCTGGAAAGCCTAGCTTCTTTCTTTTTAAAGAAAATGTATTGATTTTAGAGAGGAAGAGAGAGGGAGAGAGAGAGAGAGACATCAATGATGAGAGAGAATCATTGATCGGCTGCCTCCTGCATGTCCCGAAACCTGGGCATGTGCCCTTGACCAAAATCAAACTCGGGACCCTTCAGTCTGCAAGCTGACACTCTAGCCATTGGGCCAAACTAGTCAGGGCATTGGGTCAGTTTCCATGTCACTTGGGGATCTGATCCTGGGTATCCTCCTTCCTCCCTCCCCCCCAGGTTTCCATAGCAGAAGGATAAGGCAGAATTTCAGATCTGAGCAGTAGTATGCTGATAAATTGGCTCTGGGACAGGGGAGGCCGAATTTATGGTATTTGTGGATGTTTGTGGTATAAATACCCCTACTGTGTCCGATTTCAAGCTACCAACATGGCACAGAGTGCAAAGCTGAGAAGCGTTGTGCACAACTGGTGCTCATGAGCTGGAGGGGCAGCTGCAGCACAGCACCAGGTCCGAGGCACGGGTATGGGCTGGGAACTCAGACTCAGCCAGAAGCGGGAATCTTTCTGATTCCTTGTAACTCAACAAGGAAAGTACAAAGGTCCTCCTAGGGAAGGTGAATACACCACAGAATGTAGGTTCAGGCTGTTTAAATGGTCATACACCTGGAGGTTTACTGTTTTTATTTTATACCAGAGGTCTAGTGCATGAATTTGTGCACAGGTGGGCCCAGCTCCAGGTCGGGGGGACAATTTGCATATTAGCCTTTTATTATATAGGATGTTAACATGAATTCATCCAATATTAATTTGGTTGATATTATATAAAACATCCCCAGGGCCTTTGAGAATATCAAGTGAATCGGATGAATTCTTCAGTTAAGGAGACTCCTAGTTAGATGAGGTAACACATATGTCCATAACTGAAGGAACTGAAGGTTGGAGCAAGCTTTTCTCACTAGAAAGGTACTGGGAGGCCTCACAATACAGGTGCCACTTGGGCTTCGTAGTATGAAGAGAATTTGGACAAGAAAGGCTGTCCCAGAAAGATAGGAGTTGTGTAACAAAGCAATGAAACACAGGCACAGTGTGATCGACATCCAGTGTGAACCAAGTCAGAAAGGTCGATTGGAGAGAGACAATGAAGGATCTTGAATGCCTGGTGGAGGAGTTTGGACTTGATCCAATAGTCTAAGGAGTTAAACATTTTTTGAGCAGTGCCAGAGGAGAAAAAAATGAAGCCTACAGTGGCATGGGGGCCTAATTACTCCTAATAATTCTGCAAGAATTGCTGAAGTTGGGGGCTTGGAGAAGATGCAGTGATTATATAATTACTGGGATCAATATCAGGCCTGTTTAGTTCCAAAGCCAGTGTTCAGGCTGCTGCCCTGGGGAGTGACGTGGGCAGACGCTGCATCCAGATGAGTCTGAAGGAGAAGACAAAGATGAGGGGCAGGGAGAGCAGCTGGTCAGGCGCAGGAGCAATTTAGGTGGAATTCAAGACAGGAACTAATTAATACACACTGCCTGTCGGGGCAGTGGGACTAAAGAGAAGCGTACGATGTTAAAGTGGCATCGAAGGACGTAGCAGTTGATCACACAGGGGGAGTGGGTGCTGAGGAAGAAGCAGCTGTCCAGTGTCTGATGGGACAGTGGTGCTCCCGACAGGTGAACAAGAGAAGGGGCTTGGGGAATAGATCACGTTGGAGGGATCTGTGGGATAGCCAGTTGGAGATGGCTAACAGCCAGCTGGAAAAGTGAAACAAAGACTTGTTAAAACTGTGCAAGGGCCAAAGCAGGGGGAGCGATATGAAGGCATCTGGCAAAGGTAGTTCAGGTTAGGAAAAGGCTACAGACATAGCCTTGGTGTGCACACACAGGCACTCCTAGGGTTTGATTTCTTTGGTTTGTTCTTCACTCTTCCCTCCCCCACTTTTATGGCTCATCGTCTACCTAAGACCGTGGTCGGCAAACTGTGGCTCTTGAGACACATGCAGCTCTTTGGCCCCTTGAGTGTGGCTCTTCCACAAAATACCACGGCCTGGGCGAGTCTATGTTGAAGAAGTGGTGTTAGAAGAGGTTTAAGTTTAAAAACAATGGTTCTCAAAAGAAATTTCAATCGTTTAAGTTTAAAAACAATGGTTCTCAAAAGAAATTTCAATGTTGATATTTGGCTCTGTTGACTAATGAGTTTGCCAACCACTGACCTAAGACATATAGATACAAGTATGCCCACTGACTTTCTGGGAACTTGCTGACCCTTAATGCTTAGCATCCTCTTTTGACAAGAGTGAGTTGGAGACACTTTTAGTAAAACATGGTTCTTTTCTTTAAGACCCTTTCATGGTTGATAGGCTGGGCTTGTTCTTGGAGTGAGACCTGAGCAGGGGATTGAATACATGGGGGGCTTACAGGCTTCTTCGGAGGCCAGTGGTTGGGACGGTGGTTGGACTCAGCAGGCCTACTCTATTTTATCCTAATTTTTGAGAATTCTTTCTGATAATTTATTGTTTTGGGCGTGGTTAGGTCAATTCATCAAAGACATAGATTCTGGAAGTCCGGCAGAGGCGGCTGGCTTGAAGGCCAATGACCTGGTCATTGCTGTCAACGGCGAGTCCGTGGAATCCCTCGGTCATGACAGTGTGGTGGAAATGATCAGGAAGAGTGGAGACCAGACTTCGCTGCTGGTGGTAGACAAAGAGACGGATAGCATATACAGACTGGTAAGTAATACAGGGTCATCTATTCCTGCATTAAGGTGGGGTCCACTCACTCATGCCCTCAAACGTTGGCTAAGTTGCCTTATTGTTAGCCAATGCTGGTTGGCCCATGAATAGCTTCTGTTTCTACCACCACGGCTACTCCATCGGTGAGCTCGTTGTGTCCGAGTTGCTATTCATTGCTAGCTGATGAGAGTCTGGCTGACCTCAACTGGCTGGGTCATTGTCTCTATTTGGTGGTTTATCACTTTGATCTTCAACCTGGAAAGTGTATAATAACCATCGACCATCATTAAGGCTGCTTTGAAGTTCAAAGTGGCAGTGGTATGAGAATGCCATGTGATTGGCATATAAGTTTAAAGTCCTTAGACTCAAGATTTTGAAAGAATTCGCATATAATTACATAATTACTCTTGGTGGTCTGAAGAAAGCTATGAACAGTTGTCTGGAAATAGGCAGGTATAGACCTAACACTCCTAAGGAGGGATTTTAAGCTATACACCAGAAAGTTCCAGCCATCCCATGTAAAAGCCTAGACAGGGCTATTGAACAGCTTGTAATAATGTGAATGTGAATGGCTATTATACACAAGCAGCAGACTTATTTTTGAGGTGTTCTGTGGGATGTAGCTTGACCAGATAGGAAAGCTGTCAGGAGCTAGCTTTTGGCTTAGGACAACTGGGAAGAGGATAAGCCTACTTCTGCAGTGGCTCCCACTAGGTAGAAAAAGTCAAGGCAGAAGGTCACTGCCCTTGCTGTGGTACAGCAGGTTCTAGCATTGAATCCTTTCCAACTTCGAACCTTATGACGGAATCAGTTCACTATAATCTTAATGTTTTGGTTAAGAAAGAGAGAACTTTGGTCTATAGAGATGACCGTCCCCATCTTCCTCCTCCCGCTCCTCCCCAAAGTGAGTTGCATGGGCAGGATGTTTGAGACACAACAGTGAATAGAGCAAACACCTGAGCCAGTTCCTGTACCATGGGAGACAGCCAAATATTTGAATGAGAATGAATGCAAACTCACTGTTTGATGCTATTGTACTTGGCCTAGGATTAGCTGCTACTGTCCGACAGTTGGTTTGCTTGTCTGGGTGGTGATGTCAAAGGCATGTAAGGAGTGACTGTTCATTTCCCACATTTTAAAGAGGGAAAGAAATGTAGAAGGTTTGAACGGGTATCGCTGGAAGGGCTGGAGTTAGTTGCACTGGGTAACTGAAAGGTTCTCAGCGAGGTGCTACTCTCGTGGGGAAAGGAAGCGGTGGCCTTGTGGTTAGTGAGACAGATGGTAACTGGAGCCTCAGATCTAATTTTAGCCAGGCTGCTGAACAGGGCGATTTAGGGGGGAGCACACCTTGTACCCGCTTTCAGCTGCTTCATTTCCCACTCACCGCCTCACAAATGCCTTGGCACCTGTGGGCAGCAATTTATCGACTGACCTAGGATCTCAGCATACCCAAATCTAGCCTCTTCTCTCAACTAAAACACAGGCAGTTAAGCTCTTTAAAAAATATATTTTTATTGATTTCAGAAAGGGAGAGAAACATCAGTGATGAGAATCATTGATTGGCTGTCTCCTGCATGCCCTCACCCTCCACCACCTGCCTGGGGATCGAGCTTGTAATTTGAACATGTACCCTGACTGGGAATTGAACTGTGACCTCCTGGTTCATAGGTTGACACTCAACCACTGAGCCACAATGATTGGGCTAAACTTATACACACACACACACACACACACACACACACACACACACACATATATATATATATATATATATATATATATATATATATATATATAAAATCAGTTATATGTTCCCTGTTTAATCCTTGTTCTATATTCAAGTCCATCACTGCCTTCTCTGCAGAGATGTTGTGGGAGACGAATAGATTAGGAATATATAAAGATAGTGAGTGAGGAGCTTGGCATAACCGAAATATCAGCTACTAGTTACAATAGCTAGTAAAATAGAGTAGAACAGGTCACAGTGCTGGAGGGGTAGTGGGGGAGGAACCATGTGACCACATGATTGCTGCCCTGCCAGTTAATTCACTCTTGTCTACACTTGGATGTGATGTAGAGTCTTGCATTACTCTAAGTGTTTAAGGAGTTTGAAGTTCTCACTGAAGAGGAAGGCCAGATGGAGCTAACCTGCATGAGATAGAGGGCAAGTCGCTAATCCTCTCACCAAGTCAGAGGAAACCAGCAGTTCTGTTAGGCTCATTTTTGGATCCTTGTACCACATTTTATTTTACGGATATGTGCAATTGTTTACATGTTTAAACATGTTACTCCACAACCAAGCTCAATCTTCCTTTATCCCTTTCCATGATTGTGGGCTGTAAAATGAAAAACTTTACAGGCCACAATCATGTATGTGGAAGAGAGGAACATGTATGGCATCTTATAAACTAAATCAGCACACTTAATAGTGTAATTATTCATATTTACAGTAAATGTTTATTACCTCCTGTATTTCCCATAGGCTCATTTTTCTCCATTTCTCTACTATCAAAATCAACACCTGCCTAACGGTTCTGTCATGGAGGCCCCGGTTCCTGCGCCTGCGGCCAGCTCCAGGCCAGACCATAAGCCTAGACTGTGCAGGCTGGTGAAAGGTGACGACGGCTATGGCTTCCACTTAAATGCAATTCGGGGGCGGCCAGGCCCGTATGTCAAAGAGGTACGGTGACCTGGTCCTGCAGCCACACCAGGAGGGCGGGTTCTCCCTCACTGATGGCTTAGCAAACGGGCACACTGGGGGGCCTACGTGGAGCGTCTCACTCGGGTTCAAATAATTGCTGCCATGGTCCCTGACCCTTTCAGATAGCTTAGTACAGCCTAAGCTCACATCCTTTATTTCTTAAACATGTTACACTCAGTCGTCTGTAGACGCTTTCAGATCGGGTAGAGCTGGCATGCCGGCAGGTGACAGTCACCGTCAGCACTGACTGGGGGTGATGCTTGCTTGCTTCTGTGCACGCAGCCAATGCCTCTGCGCGGAGGGCCTGAGGGAGAGGACTGTCCCTAGAGCTCGCACGTTGGGCGTGCAGAAGGGACCTGTGATGTCTGATGCCTTTAACCCAGAAGACATACAACACGATAGCCAACCACTAACACCACTCACTGGAGAGCGGAAGCTTAGCTTCCATAAGCAGAAAGCATTAGACACTGTCCCTGGCTTCTCTGCCTCAGGAAGTATCACAGTGAAGAACAAATCCTCAAACCCTCATCTCCTGAGAGGGAGCAGCTCCCATTCCCGTATCTGTGTCTGGACGGGAAAACTCCCCCGTGTCCGCAGGTGCAGGAGGGCAGCCCTGCCCAGCTGGCGGGGCTGGAGGACGAGGACGTCATCGTTGAGGTGAACGGGGTCAATGTGCTGGACGAACTCTACGAGAAGGTGGTGGACAGAATCCAGAGCAGCGGGAACAGTGTCACACTCCTAGTCTGCGGGAAGAAGGCCTATGAGCACTTCCAGGCGAAGAAGATCCCCGTTGTTTCCTCCATGGCCGACCCACTGGATGTGCCTCTCGATCCCAAAGAGGAAGCACAGGCAGAGTCAGAGGTTGACTCACACGTGGCGAAAGAACGAGTGAGTGGTGACACATTTCTTTTCTTTAAAAAAATACTTTTATTGATTTCAGAGAAAAAGGGAGAGGGAGAGAGAGAAATATCAGTAGAGAGAATCACCAGTCAATGGCCTCCTGCAGGCCCCCTGTGGACCAAGCCCGAAATCCGGGCATGTGCCCCAACTGGAAATCAAGCTGTGACCTCCTGGCTCATAGGTTGATGCTAAACCACTGAGCCACACCAGCTGGGTAACACATTTCTATGGATTTACTCTCTCTGTGCCATGGTTTCCTCCCCTATAAAACAAGGATACTTTGTGGGACTGTTCCCAGGATTATACTAAGACTATTAAAATGATTCGGATAGTGCCTGTGGCTCAGTAAGCATAAGAGGAATAGTGGTGGTTAGACAGTGCTGTTTTTAAAATAACTGGCAGGTATTCAAGTTTTATTACTAGGAAAGAGCAAACATTATGCTGTATTTAGATTAGATAAATTCCACAGTAAATCTCAGTTTTTGTTGTCCATTTTCTTTTCATAGATGAACTTGAGGTCCAAGAGCGAAGTGACCTATCCAAGTTCATAAAGGAAACATTTGGCAAAGCCAAGACTCTTAAGGTTTAATATTGGTTTTCTTTCATTACATTAATGGAATTCCTCTGGTTGGTAACATAAAACTACTAATTTTTAAGGAACACCCCTGTCGTAGTCCGAGTAGGCTGCTGTAACAATACCGCACACGGCGGCTTTGTAAACAGAACGTTCATTTCTCACATTCTGGCGGCTGGAGGCCACGCTCGAGGTGCTGGCCGATGGGTGTCCGTGAGGCCTCTCCAGGGGGCAGACCCGGATCCTCGCTCTGCCCCCTCAGGCTGGGAGGGGCTGGGGAGCCTGGGCCCTCTTTGTTAAGGGCGCCAATCCCAGCTCTGCCCTCCTGACTCAACACACCACAAGGCCCTACGCTCCCATTCTCTCCCTGTGGGGGCAAGGATCTCCCCATATGAATGTGGGGGAGATGCAAATATTCAGACCAAGGCACACACAATAGCCACCGACCATACTGCACACTTCCTAACAAAGGGAGTATTCCCATGGCCTTTTAAGAATCCTGTAATATCTCGGCAGGCAGGCAGCTGTAGAAAGGAAATGGGCTAGTATCAGACAGCAAGCTGCAAGCAAAGCCAGTCAGGTCACCTGGCTTCTAGCGATGACCCTCTCCCTGGCTTCCGGCCCCGCCCGGCACTGACCTTCCCTTCTCTCGCACAGGCCCTCAGCACAGCCTCGCAGTCCTCCACCACCTCTGAGGACACCAGGATGTGAGGAGAGCCGTGGCTGCGGCATTTAACGGGAGCCCTTTCCAAGGAATGAGCGGCTGGACCTGCTGTCTCTGGTGACGAACCCTCTGGACACTGGCCAGTCACGTGCACTGCTTCCTGCTGTCACTTGTCCCGGGTGGCCACTGCGGATGCTCATTTGTGGCCACCTCCGGAGAAGCTGAGGCGGGACCAGGTTCTTCTCCTGTGCTCTTTCAAGCTGCAACTTAACTATCCTTCTCTGCAGGATGATCTCTCTCACGTCTATGGGCTCCTGGAGGCCAAAGGTGATTCATTAATCTGTACATGTGAAGCTGCTAATTAAAGGACTTAAGCTTGCCTATTAAAATTATGCTTTTTAAAGAATGTGTGGTTACTAAAATAAATGCCATTAAAAATGTCTCTTGAGTTGCTTGAACCTTCCCTGTTAGCTCATCTAACCTGAACTGTTTTTGATAAGCATTTTATGCTTTAATTTTTGTTTTGTCTCTAAGGAACCAAAAAACAAAATAAAATTCAGAATAAGACCTTAGTAATAAATAGACTTCCTGGTAGTAAAATTAAGGATTTTCTAAAATGGCATTTCTGAGTGTTCTACAAATTTTCCTTTTACAGATGAAGAAATTGAGTCATAGGAGAAAAAAGTGACTTATTCCAGTTAGCAGTTACTCATTGTCTTACCCACAGTATGAGGGGCAGATGGGAAGAAAATACAAGCCATTATTACTTAATTGAATGTACAGTAATTCACTCTTACATGATAGTGAAAGGAAATCAGGAAAAATGAGACCCTTAAAATCTCTCTTGGTAGAATCTATTTCATTTGCAACCCATCCTAGCCCCAGGGAAGAGGAGACAAGCTCTTGGCTATTTTAATGGGTAAGGCTTGGGGAGGAGGGTGGGAAGCTAACTCGTGTGATCACACACAGCAGACACGGAGCTGTCTTTGATGAAGTAAAGCCAAGGCCAGACTTACAATCTCGGATTTTAATGACAGTCAGTCTCGGGGAAGCCAAAACCTCCTCCATGCGAACCTCCACTTCAGCAGAAACCCCGCGCGCTTGGCCCAGCTCCGCAGACTCCATTACCCGGTTCCGGTGTGCTTCTCCCTGCCGCTTCGTGGCTCTTTCCCACGCCCCCTCCCAACGCTGCAGCGGCCTCACCCCCACAGGGACTTCTGGCTGAGCATCAGCCTCAGGTACCTGGCTCCCGGGCTCCGGCCAAGGCTCAGAGCACGGTATCGCGGAGAGGAAGGCATAAGCTGCAGGTGGAGTGGCTACCACAGCGTCTTGTTAAAAAGTATTAGGCCTGGTCCCCTCCATTCCCCTCGTTCTATCTAAACGCTGACACCATGGCCTGTTAGCGGTCCGCACGGCTGAGCTCAGGGCGTCATGTGCTTCTCGGGCGCCTGCTTGTGCGCCAGGTAGAGGAACAGGATGCTGGAGAGCGCGCTGACCAGGAAGATGACGTCGAACCAGCGGTGGTAGAAGTTGAACTGCAGCTCCCCCAGCACTTCGGTGATGATGGTGCGGTACTCCAGCGGCATGCTCATCCGGATCAGCAGCACCGAGGACACGAAGTACATGCCCTGCAAGTCAAACACGCCAGTCCACACGTCACGCTGCATGTAGTGAGGGACGGGTCAAAGGGCGTGGCTGACTATTTAAAAGTATAAAACACTCTGGTACCTTACAGTGCGAAGATGAAACCAGTTTTTACAACTTACCATGATCTGCGCTAACAGCAGGACGATGACGTTGGAGGACTTGCTGCTGGAGATGGCGTAGAAGAACTGCCGAGAGAGGGGAGAGGTGAGTGTGCAGCACGCCTGTCCTGTGTCCAGAACACGAGGAGCGTGGCTGCCAGTTAATCAAAGGTGTCACTCCCATGCCTTACTCCTGTGCAGAACTACTGTATGACTAAGGCTATAAAGAAGAGACTTGGAGGGAAAGGCTTTAGTTGGTGGTTTTAAGTATGACATCGAGACACAGAAGCGTTATAGTGGCTAACAAGCTGTTAAGAGGCTGTGGTCACCTGACTTGAACATCACTCGAAACCATTAAAACAGGTTGCCCCAGGCCCTTGTCATTGTTCCTGGGCTCAGAGCTCTCTGCAAAATTGTGCCATACAACCCTCTCTCTTGTCCTTCTTCCAGCTCCTCTCTCCTTTCACTCCAACAGCTGGGTCTGAAGTCTTACCTCTTCCCAGAGGGTTTACCTTCCAGGAAGCCTTCCGCGCTGAGCAGAAAACAGCTGAGCATTCTGCTTCTACCTCCACATCCTCCTCACAGTGCCTCTCACAGCTCTTCTCCCAACCTCAGACCCCGTCTCATTCCTTCCTCCAAGCACCATGTGCCAGGCGCTGTTCTAGATGCTGCTGACATATCAGCCAATAAAACAGTTCGTGGTCTCATTCTATGACCTTTGGTAACTGTAGTTATCTGATTATGTGATGTAAGTCGTCATCATCAATCCAGGTATCAGTTTAACTTCTTAAAAATTCTGTTGTATGGTCCTGACTGGTTTAGCTCAGTGGATAGAGCTTCAACCTGTGGACTGAAGGGTCCCAGGATTGATTCCAGTCAAGGGCATAAACGTTGGTTGCAGGCACATCCCCAGTGGGGGTGTGCAGGAGGCAGCTGATCGATGTTTCTCTCATCAATGTTTCTAACTCTCTATCCCTCTTCCTTCCTCTCTGTAAAAAAAAAATCAATAAAATTAAAAAAAAATTTTGTTGTATGTCTTTTATTATTTATTTTAATATTTTTTATTTTATTTATTTATTTTTTGAGAGAGAGAAAGGGAGAGGGAGAGCACGTGAGCGAGCAAGAGAGAAACATTGGTTGGTTGCCTTCCTCACGCGCCCTTACCAGTGACTAAAGCCTGGCATGTGCCCTCACGGAATCGAACCAGGGACTGTCGGTGCACAGGACACCGCTCCAACCAACTGAACCACGTGGGCCAGGGCTGTTGTCTTTGAAATATCTGTGACTGTTGTTTAAGAAATCTTAAATAGGTAAAATGATCTCACGGGGAACATGGCCTTAGAGTAATTACTTTGATTTGTGATAGAACGTACCTTGGTAAGAGTGATCAGCAGTCCTCTGATGGATGTGACAATGATTATGCCAACCAGAATGAAGGAAATGTGCTGGGACCAGAACTTCACCTGCACCAAAATAGAAAGGATAAATCTGTTAAGTCTCTGTTGAGAGAGCTGTGAAGATTAAAACGATGCATTCTGGCCTGGCTGGTGGTTAGACCACTGACCCATGCACCAAAGGGGCGCAGAGTCAATTCCTGGTCCAGGGCACATCCTGGGTAGCAGGTTCGATCCTCAGCCAAGATAGAGGCATGTGTAGGAGGCAACCAATCCACATGTCTCACACTGATGCCTCTCTCTATCTCTTTCACTCCCCCTTCCCTCCACTCCCTCCCACTCTCTCTCTCTCTCTCTCAAAAAAAAAAAAAAAAAAAAAAAAAAATCAATGGGAAAAATATCCTCTGGTGAGGATTAAAAAAACAAACCAAGAGGATGCCCTGACTGCTATGTGACTGAGAGGGAACGTCTGCAGGCCCTGTGGGAGGAAAAAGAAGTGGGGAAGAGAGCAAGTGGCAAGGAAAACAGCTCCAGGAGGAGGAAGACAGCAGTGGCGTCTTCATTAGCAGACAAATTAAGACGTACGGACAGAAGAAAGTCAAGTGCAGTGAAGTGATGAAAACAACAGGAATAAATCGGAAGAAACACAAGCCTAAGGTTTAGCTTCAATGTGACAGTGAAAAGCACAGACTAAAAGGAAACGAAACGGCAGCTTGATTACTTCTATGACCTGTGAATGTAGTTCTCTGATCACCCAACACGTTAAGGAACTTTTCTTTCTTAATAAGAGGATTAGACATTCTCGGCCATGCTCCGGGAAGCAGTCAGCCTTCATCCGAATCACTGACGCCCTTTCCTTCTCTGCCACTGTTTCCCGGGGGAGGCAGCGAGGCCCCGTGCGTGCTCGGGGAGCTGCTCTCGCTGCCGCCTTCCAGGGGCCCTTCGGAATGGTGCTGTGAGCGCGCAGTGAGTTACCAGTGGAGTGTGGATACACACCAGCAACTGAACGGCCTTGAGAAGACTGAGAAGAGCATTTCTCAAAATTCAGCCCGGTCAGAAATTTAAAAGAGGAGAACACATATGCTATACCAGTGAAGCATACTTCCCAGCATAATTCATGTAATTCTTGAAGGAAAGAGACCACACTCCTTCAAAGGAAGAAGGATACACGATTGGTCTACCAAAATGTGTGTTTGGCCCTGGCTGTGTAGCTCAGTTGGTTAGAACATAATGCCAATGAGCCAAGGTTGCAGGTTCAACCCCTGGTCAGGGCACATACAAGAATCAACCAATGAATGCATAAATAAGAGGACAACAAATCAATGTCCCCCACCCTCTCTAAAATCAACCAATCAATACAATTTTCTAAAAGTGTGCTCTGAGCTGTTCTTAAAGGCTGGAGCTCAAGGTGCTCTGGTTCGTTTTCATATCATCCAGCCACCAGGGGCGTGTCCAGCGGAGCTGGCTGCTGGCAGCGTGCCATCTGGTGAGAATCACAGCACAGCTAAAACGAAAGGCCCTGGGGGACAGGGACATGACACGGTCTTATGATCAGCCAGAATCATTGGCCATCTACACACCGAGAAAATATACTGGTCTACAAATAAAGATGTTACATTTAAATTAGGACAAGAGTGTATTCAATGATGGTGGTATTCTAAAACAGGGAGAAAGATGACAAAAATTTGTGCACAGGTTACAGTTTTCATCTTTAGTGCATAGTCCACATTAATTAATTGATCAAGATAATTTTTATAGTAGAAATCATCTCAGTTCTAGCACATAACACCAATTAGTAGTTAATATTCCACCAGAGGATCAAAGGCGAGCTGTGTGCTTGAAGATCTCACCGAGAGACGTATGTTAGTATTTGGTGGGAGAAACTGGTGAGTTGTAGCTGGCTACAGAGCAGAGGCAGAATTAGAAATACCAGCAACCAGCAACACGACAACAGTAAGTCCCAGCCGTTACTTATGTTTATACCTTTTACCAATCTAGCATATGAACATGTCAAAATACACGCAGGAAGAACAAAAGCAGAGCCAAGTCCCCATGGGAAGGAGTTAGAATCTGAATTATAATTTACAGCAGATAAGAGAAAGGAACAACAAACCAGGATTTGGATACAGCTCTTACGTCAAATTGGATTCCCAGGTAATTCACAGTGATCTCAATGCCTCTTGTGACAGGGTCCGTCTTTCCCACTCGGTCAAAAACGATATTAATGGTCGCCTGCAGAGACACACACTTTCATTAGAGCAGTTCAACAATCACCTATTTCAAAAAGGTGATTCAAAATAATGAATTAGTCACCATAACACATCTCACTGCTGGATGCTCCTAAAAATGAAATTGGACTCAGTCTAAATCAGATGTAAGAATTCTATTTTGGCTGTCCACAACGACAAACCAAAGTCCCTCTCTCTTTTCTGTGCAGAGAACAGGGAACAGGTGACAGCATGTCCTCCTGAACTCCTCAGAGCCAGGAGGCCACCCGGTGGGAGAGGAGGCCACCCGGTGGGAGAGGAGGCCACCCGGTGGGAGAGGAGGCCACCCGGTGGGGAGGAGGCCACCCGGTGGGAGAGGAGGCCACCCGGAGGGGAGGAGGCCACCCGGTGGGAGAGGAGGCCACCCGGTGGGAAGGAGGCCACCCGGTGGGAGAGGAGGCCACCCGGAGGGGAGGAGGCCACCCGGAGGGGAGGAGGCCACCCGGTGGGGAGGAGGCCACCCGGTGGGAGAGGAGGCCACCCGGAGGGGAGGAGGCCACCCGGTGGGGAGGAGGCCACCCGGTGGGGAGGAGGCCACCCGGTGGGAGAGGAGGCCACCCGGTGGAGAGGAGGCCACCCGGTGGGAGAGGAGGCCACCCGGTGGAGAGGAGGCCACCCGGTGGGGAGGAGGCCACCCGGTGGGAGAGGAGGCCACCTGGTGGGGAGGAAGCCACCCGGTGGGAGAGGAGGCCACCCGGTGGGAGAGGAGGCCACCCGGAGGGGAGGAGGCCACCCGGTGGGGAGGAAGCCAGGTCAGGAGCATAAAGGAGCTCCAGGGCCGTTCCCGGTGGTTACTGCCTGAGTGCTCTAACAGCAATCACTACAGATTTAGAGAATTACAGTTAATAAGTCAACAAAGCAGAGCAAATGGAGTTATGAAAAAAGCCAATTAATCCAAAAGAAGGCAGAAAAAAAGGGAAAAGGGAAGAAAACATTGAGACAAATAAAAAACGTGTAGTATTATGGTTGTTTTAAAGCAAACCATATTAAATGTAATTGGTCAAAACCAGGGGTTGGCAAATGCTGCAATTGTAGCATGAGAGAGGCCACAGATGATGTGTAGACAAATAGGCTTGGCTGTGTTCCAACAAAACTTTATTTACAGAAGCAGGTGGTGGCTGGATCTCACCTGTGGGCTACAGATGGCTGATTGCTGGTCTAAACGTACCAATTAAAAGGCAGAGATGGTCAGACTGGATAAAAAACCAAGGCCTAACTATATGGTGCTTATAAGAAATCCACTTTATATGTAAAGTACAAATAGGTTAAAAGGAAAATAATTAAAAAAATATATATTATGCCAACACTAATAAAAATAAAATGCAGCCAAAACTGGTTTGGCTCAGTGGATAGAGCGTCGGCCTGTGGACTGAAGGGTTCCGGGTTCGATTCCGGTCAAGGGCATGTACCTTGGCTGTGGGCACATCCCTAGTAGGGGGTGTGCAAGAGGCAGCTGGTCGATGTTTCTCTCTCATCGACGTTTCTAGCTCTCTAACCCTCTTCCTTCCTCTCTGTAAAAATCAATAAAGTATATTTAAAAATAAAATAAAATAAAATGCAGCCTCCCTTTCTGGGCGACCTGAAAAGGAGAAGGAAGGATCGGCTTCTCTGCTGACTCCACTGGGATTTAGTGCCTCCACCAAACCCACTTTGCTCCTCCTGCCATCACCAGGGAAAAGTACCCGAACTCTGACAGGTGAAGAGAATACACTTACCATGAAGATTTTCCAAACACAGTAAATAGAGAAAAAGTAACCCAGAAAATTAAAATATTTCCCCTTGAAAGTTTTGGAGTATTCTATCCTCTCCTGAGGGAAAACAAACAGAAAACATGTCAGTCTCAGCAAAATGTAAGTTTATATATAACAAAAATGCACTACTTGTTCAGGCTAAACAAAAAACCACACATGGTAACACTAATATTAAAAAAGCAATAGTAGTGGGCACTGGATACTACTTTAAGCCAGAGGGTGAGACAAATATCCTCCAGGCACTATCTTCGAAGCTGCGAGGTTAAATAACTTGCCCAAGGCCACCTAGCTAGTGAGGAGGGGAAGGCAGGCTCAGGCTCAGGTTTATAGATCTGTCCCCAAGGCTTCTGTTCACATGGTCCTCTGGGGCTACTCCGGTAGAGTGACCCTCAAAAAGGATTAAAATAGTTGGAACAACTTTAAGGAAGAGATTTCTGCGAATTTAAATTGTGATGCATTTTAGGTATAAGCAGAAGAGTTACTTCTTGCCCGTAGATCACTCTTGTTCTGCACCATTAAAATGGGGCTGGGCCATGGCCGAAACGTGTCTTACTGCTTCTACCCTACAACTGACTTGTAAGGGAATGAAGAGCAATCAGGAGCTGCCATCCTGATCCCGGGTCGGGGTGGGTGTGGGGTAAAGGGGGCGAGTTGGGGGCTAGGGGGTAAGGTTTGTGTGTCACCTTCCTCGATACTGAAAGCCTCTTCTGACTACCCCCTGCTTCCCATTACTGAGCCTTCCATTAGGGGTTTTGCTAGTGGGAGGAGCAATGTCATGGAGGGTGCTGACTTCTAATGCTCCATGGCTAACAGTGAAGCTGTGGAGTGTCTCTTGCACTGACTGGCCGTAGAGGACACCAAAAGGCATTGAGTCTTGTTCTCACGCTGATCACACTGACAGAAGCACACTTCCCTTCCCTTGCTCTGTACCTTGGTAGCATGTAGATCAGCTGTTTCCAGAAAAAGCTGCCTGCTTAGTTCTTCCAAAGCATCCACTTCCTGCTGAATAAGGTTAAGATCTGGCACAGAATAGGCATCAAGGTTTAAACCACATAGAAGTTTCAAAAGATAGAAAGCACATTTTTTGGTTTCTCCTATAGTGTGGATTCTAGGAACTGCCTAGATTTTCAATTTCCTGTTACATCACTATTACAGAAGTCCCCATTTCTCCCCCGCCCTTGCTCCCCTGCACCCCACCCCTGCTCCACCCAAGGCTTTCACCATACCATTGTCCCTGTCCATGGGCTGTGCACATAGCACACAAATTCTATGGTTATTCTCTCCCCGACTCCCTCCACCCCCTTCCCTCTGAGATCTGTCAGTCTATTCCATGCATCCATGCCTCTGGATCTACACTGAGTGGCCAGATTATTATGATCTCTGAACACATAAGAATCTGGCCACTCAGTGTGTGTGTGTGTGTGTGTATGTGTGTGGCATAGGTGGGGTCCGGCCAGCCTGGCCAGGGGGAGGGGACATGGGTGGTTGGCTGGCCTGCCTGCTGGTCAAACTCCTGGTAGAGGGGACAATTTGCATATTAGCCTTTTATTGTATAGGATATACACTGAGTGACCAGATTATTATGCCTTCAGAGATCATAATAATGTGGCCACTCAGTACATTTTGCTCATCAGTTTATTTTGTTAATTAGATTCCACATAGGAGTGAAATTGTGTGATACTTGTCTTAGCTGACTGGCTTATTTCACTCAGCATAATACTCTCCAGGTCCCTCCATGCTGTCTCAAAGGGTGAGAGCTCATTCATTTTGTACAGCTGCACAGTATCCCATGGTGTATGTACCACCGCTACTTAATCACTCATCTACCGATGGGCACCTGGGCTGCTTCCAGATCTTAGCTATGGTAAATAATGCTTCAGTAAGAGGGGTGCCGACATTCTTCCTGATGGGGGCATTGGGGTTCTTAGGATATAGTCCTAGAATAGGATCACAGGGTCGATGAGCCACATTGGCTGAGTTAATCTTTACTAACTTTTAATACAGCTTAGGATTTAGAGACATGATCTTCTATTATCCTCACAAAAATCGCATGAGCTAGGTGTTATTACCCATTTTGCAGATGAGGAAAGTAAAGCTCAGAGTCAAATAACTTGCTGGAAGCACACAGCTAACAGGCGTGGATGCAAAGCCAGATCCGTCCTACTGCAGGCCTGCTCTTCCCATAACACTGTGCCCCTTTCCAGATCAGCCAGGCCACCCTCCTCTTCTCTCCGGTTAGGAAAACAGGCCCCGAGAAGTTAGAGAATCCTGGTGCTTTTGTTGAGTTGACTGTCACTAAGATAGCTTCATCTTCAACTTTTGCTTCTGTGGAATTTTATGTCATAAGAACAGTAAAAACGCCCTTCTGAAAGAGCACCGACTTTAACCTCCATCTTCCTTCTGCTGAGATTTCCCACGGCCTCACAGGTCAGCCCACAGGGCCTTCCTCAGTAGTGGCCGCTATTGGCACGATGCAGCCAACAAACCATAGAAACTTTTCCATGTGCTTACATTTAGTCATTTATAACAAGAACAGGCCACATCCTCTTCCTCCAGGTGAACAAAAGGCAGTGTGTGCTTCCCCAGGCAGAGAAGCTGGATTATGCTACCTCAGTGCTGGGTCCCCAAAGTGTTGACCTAATAGCCGGAGAGTCACAAGGAGATGTGGCCCCTCAATGTGGGAATTGGTTTAACACTAACCAGCAGGGCCAAGAATAATCCGTTAACCCAACCTCCTTGATCTTTAGACCAAAAAGTCACTGGAGATACAGAGCTGCTTGGAATTCGTTTAGGGAACTGACTGCGTAAGAAATGGGTCCCCCTGGCGTTCCAGACAAACCATCCCCGTGGGGAGCGTGCGTGCTGCCCTCGGTGCTCAGAGCTGGGAAACAGGGCAGTGCAGCCGCAGGGCCAGGAAAGGGAGCCCACAGTCCCGCTCCGTCTCTGCCACAAACCACCGCGTGACACCTGCCTCTGAGTCTGTTTCTCATCTGTAAACCGGAAGACTCACTTGTCAGGACCCTTCAGCCCATGATGTGAGGATCATCTTGGGGATTGGAAAGATGGCTCTGAGCCTGCCAGCTGGACCCTGGGCACAGCCAGCTGCCTTGGGAGAGGCTATGCCAATGCTCCTTTCCTCCTGCCCCGGGCCGGAGCTGAGAGAGGGAACGGAGGGCGCCCTGGGGCCCAGACTTACTGGGAGGAGCCCTCGGCAGTGACGCCTGCAGCGCCCGCTCGCTGTGCTGCGCGCCTGAGAGACTAATGCTGAGGGTCACACGGAACCGGGGAAAGGATCAAGCCGAGGGAGGAGGATACTCTCGCTTCCTGGAGCGGAAGTGGTGATGCTCTTTATCATCCCCCAGAATCCCGACGGCTTGTTATGCACCTCCCCCTTCTGGAACATGGTTCTCCGAGTCATTGCCATCCTGGAATGAAAAACAAACAAATTCCCAAATAACAACTCGGCAAGGAAGCATGAGCCCTCAGTCATTCCCACCCACCTAGTCTCAGGCCTGCCGCTCCTCCTGCTGAGGTGCTCAGGGAAGGAGGCAGCTCGGGGGGTCCCTGCTCCCCACCTTATGGCTGAGGGGAGACTGCGCGCCCCGGGGCGATGTGGCCTGGGCGAGGAGCGTGGAGTGGGGAGTAGGGAATACATGTGAGGACTGATCCGCCACTCAGAAGCTGTGAGCCCTAAGGGTTTTCATTTCCTCCTCTATGGATAGGAAGAAAGACCCAGCAGTCACACAAACCTGGACTCTTCTAAACGCCATCCCTCCCCTCTAACTCCACTGTCCTCCCCTGAGTCCGCTAACAGGAAGCTCACTCCGCCTTCCTCTGGGCCTCGGGTCTGCAGTGGCTGCCTCAGCGGGAGCTGCTCGGCCCACACTGAGGACACCAGGAACGGCTCTGTGCGCCCTCTCTCCACTGCGGCTCCCTCAGTCCAGCACGGTAAGCTGAAGTCACTTTTACATGGGTGAGACAGGCCTTCTTATGTACATACCTGCTCCAGCTTTCCCGACTATACACATGGGGAAACTATTTAAAGTACAGTACCAATGGGGGAGAGGCAGTGCGAGAGCGCGCACAAAGCCACTTCTAGTTTCCTCAGCCCAGTACAACAAACAGAAGAACAGGGTCTTTGGCCGTAGCCAGTGTGGCTCAGTGGATAGAGCTTTGGCCTGCGGACTGTAGGGTCCTGGGTTTGATTTCTGTCAAGGGCATGTTCCACAGGTTGTGGGCTCAATCCCTAGTAGGGGGCATGCAGGAGGCAGCCGATCAAGGATTCTCTTATCATTGATGTTTCTCTCTCTCTCTCTCACTGTCTCTTCCTCTCTGAAACAGAATATATTTAAAAACAACAAAAACAGTTTTTGTGAAGAAAACTGAGATCATGAGTATATAAATGGGTCAAAGCCTACAGGCCTAAAATAAACCAGCATGAATCTAATACAAGTAGCGTAGTAGAACTAAAGAAAAATTTAACTCGGGAAAATTTTTGGGAGACGAGACAGAAGTGCTGAGGGGGAAGTAGGCTGGTATTTATGCAAATGTACCAATGGGACTAAATACCAAATGGTAGTTCTATGGGCGACATTTTTAAGCTATTGGTTAAAACAGCATTAACAGTAAAGAGCATTAGGTGTGCTGGCCACGCTGACTTAGCCATTCCTCTAAAAGGCCCTGCTGGGCTGGAACACAGCTCCAACCGGGTCCTCTGCCTCTCCCCTAACCACACCCCCTCGGCCAGCACTGCTGGGGATGTACCTGATGAGCAAGAAGCGGCTCAGACCTGGGAGATTCTGACTTGACAAGACTCACCCCCCTGCTTCCCCATTTTCACAGCCGGGAAAGCTGGAGCAAGTGTGCACATAGGAAGGTCTCTCGCCCACTCAGAAGCTTGCCCTGCCGGACTGAGGGAGAGGATGGGAGAGGGCGCACAGAGCCACTGCTAGTTTCCTGGGCCCTGGTGCTCACAGCACAGCCCACACCGTGCCTGGCTGCGAGTGGGACTGGCTGACACGCAGGGGCCCCCGCAGGCAGAGGCAGGGCCACTAGAAGTGAGAGCTGGCTGCACCCTGACAAGCCTGGCCTTGTTTTAACAATTCACTTTCATTTTTATCATTTGCCTCTAAACTAACTTTCTTTTTATCAAATACACTGCATATAAAAATATATGTTAATATATTCAAAAAAGAAAAAGGAACACTAACGCCAGAGGTGTGGTAAAAGGAACAAAAACCAATAGGAGGTGCCACAGACGCGGCCGACTTTGACCTTGAACTTTTCTTCCCTGGCACCGCCACCACCACCAGACCATCATCACTATTCTCTCTCTATAACAGGGGCAGGTCCGGAGCAAGAACATATCTATTATTAGCCAGGTGCCTTTCAAACCCACAATCTGGAGAAACACCAGCTCTGGGCTGAGGTGTGGCGGGTGTCTTCAGTGAAGAGGCTGGCTGTTTCCTGTGGGTTAAATGTGCTACCACACTGCTTTCTGGTGGGAAGTCAGCAACTGCTTTTCTTTTCTTAATTTATTATTAAATCCTTACCCGAAGATGTGTTAATTGATTTGAGAGAGAGGGGAAGAGAGAGAGAAACAGGGAGGAGAGAGGGGGAGAGAGAGAGAGAGAGAGAGGGAAGAAGGGAGTTAGGGAGAGAGAAACTGCAATTGGTTGCCTCCTGCATATACCCAACAGGTGATCCAACCTGAAACCTAGTATGTGCCCTGTCTCGGAACCGAACTTGCAACATTTTTGGCGAACAAACAACTAACCCACCCTCACCTGGCCAGGCTATTTTCCTCCCTCTCTCTGTATTTTAACAAAACTTTTAAAGTTTTTTTTTCTTTGCAGAGAGAGAGAGAGAGAGAGGGAGGGAGGGAAGGAGAGAGCCACTGATATGAGAGGGAAACGTCAGCTGGTTGAAGACCCACCCATGCACTCCCACCTGGGGCTGAACAAACAACCTGGGCATGTGCCCTGGCTGGGAACGGGACCGGCGACCTTTCGGGGCATGGATGACGCTCAACCAACTGAGCCACACCAGCCAGGGCATGCTTTCCTTTTTTAATTAAACATTTTATTTTGATAAAATTTTAGGTTCACATGTGGTTGTAAAATAAGAGAGAGAGCCCATGCTTTCCCCAATGGAAACAACTTGCACATTTATAGTACAGTATTACAACCAGGGTGTGACACTGACAGTCAAGGCACAGAAATCTCCATGACGACAAGGATCACGCATGCTGCCCCTGTACAGCACACTCCCTCCCACCTCCAGCCCCTCTAAGCCCCGTCAACCACGACTGTTTTCCATTTCCATTGTCTCACTTCAAAGGTGTATGTAAGTAGAACCACACAGCATGTAACCCTTGTGGACCGGCAAATCCGTGTCTGGGTAAACCCCCTTCTAGTTCTCTTGGGCTGTCTGGGGTTTACTTTGCATATGTATTTTTAATGATGAGGCAGAGATTTGGGCAGAGTTTGTATGTAGATTCTAGATCCTATCCTTCTGCATTTCCCTTGCTTTCAGAAATGTCCTTTTAGATGTCCAGTCACTGTGCTGATTTGAACTCTATTGACCTGTATGCATGAGTGGATGCTGGAGGGTGGGCGGGGCTGAAAAGCACCCCAGGCAAACAAGCCACACACAGGCAGGTACCTGAGACCCTTCTCAAATCTCTGCCTCTCTGGTTATTTTCCAGGCCCTTCACATATTTGTTTTTAATCATTTTTAGTTTTTATGACTTTCTATTGAAGGAATTGCTTGAAATCTTTATATAGTGCCATTCTTGGAAATTTCCTCTATGATGGTGTTTTAAAATTTTATTTACTTTATTTTTATTGGTTTCAGAGAGGAAGGGAGGGGGAGAAAGAGATGGAAATGTCATTGATCAGTTGCCTCTGGTGCGCCCCACACTGGAGTTGAGCCTGCAGCCCGGGCATGTGTCCTGAGCGGGAATGGAACCGTGACCTCCTGGCTCACAGGTGGACACTCAGCCCCTGAGCCGCTCTGGCTGGGCTCCTCTGCTATGTCTGACAGCAGCTGTGGCTGGAGTTGGCATTCCACAGGAGAATATGCATCTTTTCCAGATCGCTACACATTTTCAAGAGAAACCAAAATATCCAGGATAGAGGTTAAGATTTTTCTTTCATAACTTTTACATGGTATAGACTCTAGTTTCTTTTGTATGTCACAAGCTATGTGAAATACCGTGGGTAGAAAGGGGCCCACTGGCATTCTACAAATGAGTATTGCTCAAGACCTCTTAGCAAGCTAATAGGAACGAGATTTAGTTCAAGTTCTTTCATTATGCCACGGTGTAGTTGCACAGCTATATTTTCTATCTCCTACAAAACCCTAATTTCAAAATTGTACTACTACTTTGTGAACAGAGACTATATCATAAGTTACCAAAACAAAAGCTTTAATATCTAAGTCAACAAAAGGACAAAGCAAAATGAATCATTAATTCTCTCAAGCAGAAGAAAGCTCAAAGGCTTGATCACTATATCACTATGGTCACTCTATCTGAACTAGTTTTTTATTTTTACGTAATCCTCAGTTGAGGGTATTTTTTCTATTGACTTAGAGTAGAAGAGAGGAGGGAGGAGGAGAGAGAAGGAGGGGGAGAGAGGGAGGTAGAGAAACAAAAAAACATCAAAGTGAGAGAGACACATCGATTGGTTGCCTCCCATTCATACCCTGATGGGGGCCAGGGATTGAATCTGCACCAGAGATATGTGCCCTTGACTGGGAATCGAACCCATGACCCTTTGATCTGTGGGTCAATGCTCTAACCACTGAGCCCACCAGCCTGGGCTGAACTAGTTTTCGATGAATGTTTCCTAAATAGAGCTCATCTATATTCAGTGTTCCGTGTGAGAAGACAGTATACCTTTCTCCTGTCTCCATTTTCAACCATCAGCTTTTAGTTTCTAACAGATGTTATTTTTCTTGTATGTCACCGCACTATGGACCTCTACTGTTAAATTGGAAGGCAGCATGTGTTTGTGAGAACAGCTCTTCTATATTTTGGTAAATAACAAGGACATTGTATGAACCCCAGGGGCTCTGTATTACCATGCCAGCTGTCAGTCTGCCTGGCGGCTGCCCTGCATACACAGCTGTGGTAACTGTCAGGTTAGGAGGCTGGTTCACCTGAGAGCCACTCAAATTAATAAGACTGATCGCAGGGCCCAAACCACCCCGGATCCTCAGACAAGGTCAGTAGGGGTACATCAGAGCCAATGACCCACCAGAACTAGTCACAAGGCTTACAAGTACACATCCACACTTGACATGGGTAATGACTTTATATTCATCTCGGTATGAATAAAAGAAATATAGTAAAAGGGAGAATGTTCTTAGGAATCAAAATAGTATTGTTTCTATATAAATGTCTTCTAATATTGAATACTGTTGTTTTTATTATGTTTTTAAAATTTGCATTCATACTCATTCATGTAAAATCAATTATATAGAATAAATAAAAACAAAACATTTAAGTAAATAAATGTATCCCTACGTGTATCTGCTTTTAATATCCTAGTAATTGGTTGGTGAATCTGGGCCTCTATCATTCGAATGTCTATTGTTATTTCTTACATTAAGACTTCTTTGACTTGACCTTGGGTCTCACTATAAAAAGGTGTTGAAGGAAGGAACATGAATGAAAAATCACTCATGCAGTTTAAAACCTGTCACCATTGTTACATGGGCAATAATGACTTGAATAAAGACAGTGGACTAACAAGCTTCATGAAGGCAGAGACTGAGTACCCTGCTCACCTCTGTATTTCTATGTATATTCAGCCTTTAGCACAGCCTGGAGTAAACTAGGCTTTCTATAATTACTAAGTAAATAGATATGTGAATAATAAATGAAGGCAAAGTATTAAAACCAAACGGTTATTCTGCAGGTTACTAATAAGTTCTATAGTTTTCTTTAGCTATGAATTATAACTCATTGTTCTAATTCCTTTACATGTCAGTTCACTATTATTATCTCTTTTACAGATGAGGAAACCAAGACATAAGGAGAAGAGTACCTAGTTTAAGGTCACTGTGAGTTGTAGGCCAAGGATTCAATTCAGACAGTCTGAGTCTAGAGCTTATGCTTTTACCAAGAAATGCCACTTTGAAAACATACAGTTTAAACATGCTTTTAAAATAATAAAACAATAACAATAGTTGAAGACCTGAAGAATTTTTTTTTAAGTAGTTAAGAAAAAGGAAGTTGAAAAGGTTGAAGACAGGCATGAAAAAGTTCGTAAACATTCAGGATAATAGACTTTTAAAACATCCAATGTAGAATGCCTTCAATTATAAGTTATTCCAATATTTCATCGCAAGAGAATTGATCAAAAGGCAGGAAGTATGACTGTATTTGAAAATTTTCTTTCACACAGGACTAGACACTGTCTTTGATCATACGTGAACTTACAATGGAAATGAGTAAGATGAAATTCCCCGTTAGCACCAATGCACAGTAACATTTCTTGTTGAGAAATTCTAACCGTTCAAGTTGTTTAATGAGCTGCTCTCTTACCTTTTCTTTTTGCTGATGATCATGTCCATGGTCTGGAGCAGTCGCCGCTCCAGGGCGAGGATGTCGACGTCCGTCACATTCCTATAATAAGCACAAACTGCTAGCAATGTTTTGGGGTCCCGTCCTTGGGCATAACACAAGGCAGCTGGAGAAACACATATACCTCAATTGTTACCCAGCAATTCAAGAACTTTTTCCAGAGAAAATGAAAATGAGCACAAATGTTGTCCTTTTCTATAGCTAATACTCCCGGGTCTCAGGACAATGGAAGGGAATTAGATGTCCGTTAGTCTTTCTTAGCTTTCAGCCAGTGACATTTAAGATGCACATGTGAGCACAGTTTTAACTTGGCATTGTCTGTTCCACTTTTGGGAGGAACTAATTCGTTGGGATTAGCTCACATTACTGTCCACTGTGTCTTTAAAAAGGGGTGGGGAAAGGGGTGGAGAGGGTCAAATTGAAATTGTCATTAAAATAAATAATGTAGGACAAATAAGGGCAAGCAATATAAGTAATAAGACTTATTTAGAAAGATTGCTAGGCCAATGCCCATAAGGACAGAGGAAAAGAATAAAAAGACAGAGTTAATAAGTCTGATATTTAAGTATTAATGATGGCGGCATGGTATGACATTTGTGTTCAGGAAGAAGAGGAAGAAAGAAACGAGAGCGAGCTCTCATTACCTGAGGAAGTAGGACATGTAGGTGTACGGGCAGTTGACAGCACCGAATCCAGAAAGAAGAGCCATGAGAGTCACACCGATCACACCCACGCGGCTGATGAGCTGTTCTATGGACAAGATCCCTAGAAACAGGCAAAAACATTAATTTACCGTTAGCTAAGGTACAGCTGCTTACTGTGCTGTCACTGTAAGCAGCCTGGGGTCCTTTTATAGCTCCTGTCCCTCGTTTCTAATATCACAAATTTGAAACAAATTCACCTCTCTGTGGTTTGATACTAGTGGCCTGATATTGGTGCACATTAAAAGGTGATTAATTGGGGGAAATATTTTAATATTGCTATTTTCCCTTTTTCTATAATAGAAGTGTCAAAGATGAAGAAAATTAGTAAAATATATATGAAAATCTTCCTCCTGTCAGAGTCTGGGGTGCTCTGTGGGACCCAGAGTCAAGTCCCCATCCACCCAAGGCACCTCAAAATCTGTGAGACCCAGACCCAGCAGGCTCCGCCTCCATCAAGCCCTGCCGGGTGGGGGCGCAGCCTTAGGTCCCTGGCCTGGCACCAGGGTGGGGGGCATGGCCTAAGGTCCCCCGTCAAGCCCCACCAGGTGGGGGGGCGCAGGCTCAGGTCCCCTGCTCCGGCCCAGCATCACGCAGACTCAGGTCCTCGCTGACTGCTCCTTAAGGCTCGTTACGGGAACTCAGCCCCCACTGTGGGCGCAGCCACCTTGTGTTACAGAAACCCCACCTCTGCTGTGGGCGCAGCCATGGAAACCCCACCTCTGCTGTGGGCGCAGCCATCTTGTTATGGAAACCCTCGTCTCTGCTGTGGGCACAGCCATCTTGTGTTATGGAAACCCCACCTCTGCTGTGGGCACCACCATGTTGAGTGTGATGGTTAATTTGCATATTCTCTATTTATTCGCTAGGATAGTTTATATGAGAGCTATCTTATCAGCATCTCCCTTCTCCAAACCTTTCCCTACACTGACATGGGCACACTTACTCTATTATCACACCCTAAATTCCTATCCAGAGCATTAGTTACTTTCCTGATAGAAAGATAATAAGATGTACTTTCTGACCTCATGGAACTCATAGGTGAATGAGTTCATCTACTACCTTGGCAAGACTTAAACTTTTTTTCATTCACTGATTCAATAAACAGGTGATAAATGCTATGTGCTAGGTTGCTCGCTAGGCACTAAAGATACAAAGATAAATGTAGTTTCTGATCTCAGGGAACTCATAGGTGAATGAGGAAGTAAAAAAACAATTATACATTTTATATAAGTACATTGAGATGGGAGCAATCAGTATTCTCTAATGAAGGCCAAAGGAACAGACGAGAGTTGACTATTGAGAGAATAAATCAGCATTTCCCAGGTAGACAGGGGGGAGGGTTTCCAGGTTGATAGAACAGCTCCAGAAACTTCGAGGGCTGGAGGGCAGACACAGAGAAAGTCAGGCCACAGAGCGTCTTGTACGCCAAGTTGAGTTTGAATGTTTTTGGTAGGCTGGTGTTTAACTTTTTTGGCCTTCTTTAATGTTATTTAACATTTCAAAATAGTTTATAAAATATACAGTTGTTTATGATGTTGCACATGCTTTTAAAAGCTGCACATTTCCTCTGTTCCTCCTGCAGGAGTCTCATAACCTCCCTCTTCCAAATCCCTGGCACAGGAAACGAGGAGACACGGAAGGAAGCATGGGGAGAGGCAGATCCTAGGCCTGGCTCATTCATTATGCTAACCCCTTCCTAGCATGCTCCTTATACTGCGGAATTGGAGGAAAGCCAAAAGTTCTTTAGATTTCCTCGAAGGCAAGGTCTGACTGTTCCCGAGGCTGCATCAAATTCACCTGCCGTGTGAAACCTCAAATGCATTCGTAACTACAATATGTGGGAATAACAACAGCACCTGGGACACAGGTTCAATGGTCTGGTCCCTGATGTCACAGTCCTAAGTGGCAGGTGATGACTTCAGTGGGTTTTTTCAGGTTTAGTCCTGTGGTACTTCTACGATGCTATATATATATAATTTTATAGATTTTCAGAGAGGAAGGGAGAGATAGAAACATCAATGATGAGGATCATTGACCGGCTGCCTCCTGCATACCCTCTACTGGGGATCGATCCTGCAACCTGGGCATGTAGCCTTGACCAGAATCAAACCTGGGACCCTTCCATCTGCAGGCCAACGCTCTAACCACTGAGCAAACTGACAAGGGCTACACATATAGTTTAAAAGCTCCAGTATAAAAGCTCTGGTATGTTTATTACAGGTGAGCTCTCTAATTGATTTTAGGTAAATCTGTATATGTATTTGTGAAGTAGTTCTGGAAGAATTTGTTAGTCAAGACATTTTTGTTTGAAATTAGGACTGTTCGTGACCTCTTCCTGGATTTAAAATGAGCTTCCTTGTGTGAAGAGAGATACTGTTTCTTAGAAAGTTTTCTATTTTCACTAATTGTGTTTTATGTCACTGCTCTTTCCCCAAATCCATATACCCCCTGAAGAGAATCTTTAGCCTTATGTTAGCAGTGGCCACAGACCCTTTTGGGAATCTGGTAAAAGCTTATGGACATCCCACCCCAAATACACATACAAATATAGTCCCATGATCACATATAGTATCAGGAGACTGGAGTTAAAGACACCTTTGTCCCCTCCTTACTCCCTTGAAGTGTATTCACTACCCTAAGCTCAAAAGCCTCTTTCTGAAAGGAAAAACTGGCATTTGGCACCTCTTAGGATGGAGGGACAATTTGGTTCAAAACCAGAAAACTTTTAGAGACTTAATTTGCTATATTTCTCACAATCAGAAGTTTTAAAAATGATTTTTTTTTAAATATCAGAAAATTATAAATAACCCATTCCTTTTCTCCCCTCAACACATACGCACTCACCGTGTTTTGGGCTGAGAATGGGAAATGGATCTCCTAGTTTCCAGAAGAAATACATAAAAGTCAGCCATAAGAGGCAGGAGAAAAGCAGCCGCTGTTTGTGCACTGAGAGGGAGGAGACAAGACGAAGGTTAAACAGATACAGGCTAAAGAGCTTGCTCTACTTAAAAGCTATGGGATAACACTAATTTATATTTGGCTGGCTTGTTCACTTGGCAAATGAGGGATGGAACAATGTAATTTTTAGAGAACGCATCCTTACCACTTTAAGAGAAACTTGGCTGAAATTAAGCTGTGGGTTGAGTTAAGGGAGATGATCTGATAGTAACAGAACCAGATCTGTGACAGGACAAATACCCTAATCGTTTATTCAATATTTATTTTGTGCCAGCCCTTTAAGATGCGGTGTGGGAGGTGGCCCCAGACTACAGCTCCCGAGGGTCCAACACTCACACAGGCGGATGTTGCTCACAATGAAGTAGCCGATGTAGAAAGGCACCAGGAAGACCAGGATCAGCAGAATGACGCACAGGTTCAGCTTCCAGTGGAAGTAGCGGGAGCTGCAAGACACGGCCGAGCCTCAGAGGAGGGAAGGGGCGCAGCTGCCACTTCCCATAGTCTCTCAGAGGATCTCCTGCTCTTTGAACTGAATACTGAATAAACCCATCTAGCTAGTCAACGAGGCTGTTACTACCTGCTCATTTATAGAGAGCAGGAAAAAAGTCCCAAGAGGTATGTATCATCATCTTAACCTCTTAAATTTTCACTTATTAAGATGAGAATGTTAGTGTTCTAGTTACATTCATAGACAATGTATTGCCAGAAGCTAATTCCAGCATGTCAGCAGGGCTGAATCATCTGGAGATGGCTGAGGGCATTTCCCCAAACCTGAAAAGGATGCATAAATGATTGCTTGCTGCCAGACAGCTGAGAGCATTTTAATCTACATGTTATTGCCTCCTACTGGCCAAACACCTGAACAGCTAAAGGCAGTTCCTCCAATTTGACAATGGATTCTGTATATCAAACTTGGCCTTTGAGATTATATATATATCGTGCCTTACGACAAGTTGTGTTAATAAAAAGCAAGGGGTCCAGAGATACAGGAGAACTTGGTTTCTTTAGCTAAGTTTTCTCTGGCTCCCCAAAATGCCTTCCAAAATTATGTTTCATATCTGGACTCTTGATTAATTTATACACAGCGCCTTCTCCAGACCCCCACCATGTATAATAATATATATGAACATACATTATTACTGACACAATGACTATTGCTTCACTCACCACTGGGAATTTTATTCTGAGAATTTAAAAAAATGTTAATTAGCTTAACGTGTGCTATAAAGACTCAGAAATACTTCTTCTGTATCTTGTGGTAGAGAACTAAACATCTGATTTGCATGACTTCATTACTGCATCTAAATATTTTATTTATTAAAATATTTTAGAATTTTTATAGTAATTTTATTGAGATATAATTCAACATTCAAAGTGTACAATTCACCCAGCCGGTGTGGCTCAGTGGTTGAGCATTGGTCATAAACCAAAAAGTCACAGTTCAATTCCTAGTCAGGGCAGATGCCTAGGTTGTGGGCTTGATTGCCAATGTAATGTGTGTAGGAGGCAGCTGATCAACGATTCTCTCTCATCACTGATGTTTCTATTTTTCTCTCCTCCCTTCCTCTCTGAAACCAATAAAAATATATTTAAAAATAAAATCAAGGAAAAAAAGTGTATTAATTCAATGGGGTTTTAGTATATTCAGAGAGTTGTGTGAGCATCACAATTAATTTCAAGCATTTCTAACACTGCCCAAGGAAATCCTATACTCATTAGCAGTCACTCGCCTTTCTTACCACCTTTCCTGTCTAGGAAACTTTCTGTCCATACGGATTTGCTATTCGGAACATTTATTATAAATGGAATTGTGTAATATGTGCTCTTTAGTGACTGGTTTCCTTCACTTAGCATAATTTTTGTTTGTTTGTTTTGTTGACCCTCACCTGAGGATATTCTTTCCATTGATTTTTTTTGAGAGAGTGGAAGGGAGCGAGGGGAAGAGAGAAACATAGATGAGACACATCAGTTGGTTGCCTTCAACTTTCATTCCGACTGGGGTCGGGGACTGAACCTGTAACCCAGGGATGTGCCCTTGGCAGGGAATTGAACCTGAGACCCTTTGGTGCATAGGCCAACACTCTAACCACTACCAGCCAGGGCCATTTAGCATAATTTTCCAAGTTTTACCTATACTGTAGCTTCTATCAATACTTCATTTCTTTTTATGGCTGGATTATCTTCATTCCATTGCATAGATATATCACATTTTGTTTATCCATTCATTTGTTGGTGGACATTTGGGTTGTTCTTTTTAGCTATTATAAATGTGATGCTATGGACATTTGTATATAAGTTTTTGTGTGAACACGTTTTTATTCTTATTAAATACCTAAAAGTGGAACTGCTGGGTCACATGGTGACTATTTAATTTTTTAAGGACTACCATTGTTTTCCAAAGTGGCTGCACCATTTTAATTCTCCCTGCAGTGTATGAGAGTTCTAATTTCTCTGTAGCTTTGTCCATACTTGTTATTGTTATTTTGGTGTGTGTTAATTCTCATCTGAGGATACTTCTTCATTGATTTTTTTAAGAGAGGGAGGGAAGAGACAGAGAAAGAAACATAGATTGGTTGCCTCCCATATGTGCCCCCAACCAGCGTCTGGGATTGAACCTGCAACTGAAGTATGTGTGAATTAAATCTGAGACCCTTCAGTCCGCAGGCCAATACTCTAACCATTGAGCCACCTGGCCAGGGCATTACTGTCTTTTTTATTATAGCCACCCCAGTGGGTGTCTATAATAAACTACAAAGTGGTATCACATTGTAGTTTCTTTCATCTTCTGTGGAGTATCTCTTCATGCGCTTATTGGCCATTTCATCTTATCTGAAGAAATGCCTATCCAGATCCTTTGTCCACGTTTCAGTTGTGTTATTTGCCCTTTTATTTCTGAGTTGTAAGAACCTTTTATATTCCCTAGACAGAAGCCCTTTTCAGACATGTGAGTCCCGTACACTGTGGACTCTTCCAGACCAGGAAGGTTCAGGTAATTCCTTTAGTTGTTGGTTTGAGTTAGGACTGTAGCAAGTGCTCCCACACTGCATTCCCAGATCACAGTTCCCAGGCCTGACTTCTCTAGGATGAACTATTTGTACCTCTGCAGCAAGGAACATCCCACCTTTATTTTCTTTTTCTTTTCTTAACAAAAACAACTCAACATCATTTATTGTCATCTAGTAGTTACTTAAGGTTATTGTAAGCCAATATGAACAAATGGGTAAGACATGTTCTCCAAACAAAGGACACCATAAACACAAACTATATTGTTTCTCAGTAACTCCTCACTTAGCACTCAAGTCATTTCTAGGTGGAGACACTTTGGAGCAGAGTAATATTATCTCCTTTCAGCATGATCCGATCTAGTTGTTTTCTTGACTTTGTTTTAGAATGAATCTCTTCTGCATCATCTAATACGAGGTTCATATACTCATCAAAACCAATGATACAGCCTTCTATTGTATATTCACTTGTTCATAAAGCCACATCTGAATCCGAGATCTATTTCGCAAGTATCTGAAGATGAGGTTGATGGGCTGCACCATCACCTTCTGCACCTTCTGGCCCTGGCCGCGGTACGCCATGGTGGAAGCTGACAAAGACCACGCTGAGCCCCACGCTAGCCTCCGAGCCACTCCAGGAAGAAAGAACCGGAAGCGGAAGTGCGCGGCGCTGGCATAGCGGCCGGCGCAGTTCCTGGAAAGTGCTTCTCTCCCACCTTTATTTTCAATCTTGTTTCCAGTAATTTTTTTTTAAGAGTTTTAAATAGATTTATAGAGAGAAGAAGGGAGAGAGAGAGAGAAACATTTATGTGAGAGTGGAACATCAACTCAACACATGCCTGGGTTACGGGCTCAATCCACAGTGTGTGTGTGTGTGTGTGTGTGTGTGTGTGTAGGAGACAGCTGATCCATGATTCTCTCTCATCATTGATGTTTCTCGCTCTCTCTCTCTCTCTCTCTGAAATATATATATGTGTATATATATATATATATATATATGTATACATATATATGTATATATGTATATATATGTGTATATATATATATTAGAAAAAAAGAAAGAAACCTGTAACTAACTTGGAGGAATTCTGACCCTCTCAGGCAGAGATTTGTCAATCCCCAGCACAATGTGGAAGGCTGGTACTGGAATTCAGTCAGAGAACAGCTGAGAAAAAATAAAACTTCTAGGAGTGAAGCCTCAGTAGGATGAGCCTCTTAGGAACTTCTTCTCAATTAATATCTCAGAGCTAGTGGTCAGACCTTTTCCCTGCTATTTCACAATCTTTGTCAAACCCGCTACCAGGTGGTTGGACCCACGTTTAGTGTTATGATTTCAGCACTGAGACTGAACTACCCACACGGCGGGCATTTTCAGCTATGGGATCCAAGAAAGCCACCTACTGCACAGAAAGGCGCACAGATCTCTCCCAGAGGAAGCCATTCATTCCCTCACTCACCTGCTGTTCAGCACTCCTAAGATCTCAAAGATGATGAGCTCAAACATGGTGCAGGAAAACGCAAAAGTCACGGAGAAGATCACCTGCACGACATACTGACGGACCTGTGAAAAGCCACGCAGAGAGTAAGGGTCATTTTCTTGTTTGAAATTCCGAATCGATCATCTTCTGGTTATAAGCCAGAAAACTTATTTTGAAGAAATTCTCCAGTCATTAGAAAGAGGGGCACAAAAGTAACTTGCCTGGAGCTAAAGAAATAGATGAAAGTAGGTAATGGGAATGCAGACTGGTGCAGCCACATGGAAAACAGTATGGAGTTCCCTCAAAATATTATAGTGCAGCCGAAACCTGTTTGGTTCAGTGGTAGAGCGTCGGCCTGTGGACTGAAAGGTCCCAGGTTCGATTCCGGTCAGGGGCATGTACATTGGTTGCGGGCACATCCCCGGTAGGGGGTATGCAAGAGGCAGCTGGTCGATGTTTCTCTCTCATCGGAGTTTCTAGCTCTCTATCCCTCTCCCCTCCTCTCGGTAAAAAATCAATAAAATATATATTTTAAGAAAATTATAGTGCAGTGAAGGCCTGGGGGAGGGGATGGGAGCAGGGTACAGGGGTCAATGGGGGGAGGGGGGAAGGAGAGGGGAAGGGGACATTTGTAATACTTTCAACAATAACTTTTAAAAATTAAAAATGGAACTCGTTTTTGACCCAGAGACCCCACTTCTGGGAATATATCTGAAGAAACACAAAACACTAATTGGAAAGAATACACGCACTTTGTTCATTGCAGCACTGTTTATAATATAAGATTTGGAAGTAGCCAAAGTGCCCATCAATAGATGAATGGATAAAAAACTGTGGTGCGTTTACAGAGAGGCATAGTACTCATCCATCAGAAGGAGGAAATCTTACTCAAATATATGATTTCACTGATTTGTGGAATCTAATGACCAAAACAAACAAACAAACAAACGAAACAGAAACAGACTCATAGTTACAGAGAACTGACAGCTGTCAGAGGGGAGAGGGGGTGGGTGAAATAAAGGGATAAAGCTTTAGGAAAACCACACACACACACACACACCATCCTCATAGAAACAGACAACAGTATGATGATTACCAGAGAAAAGGGGGGTAGGGGCAGGTAGGAGAGGGTAAGGGGGGATAAATAGTGACAGAAGTAGACGGTATGGTGAACACACAATACAATATACGATGTATCGTAGAATTGTACACTTTGAAACCTGTATAATTTTATTACCTAACATAATTTCAGTAAAATATATAAAAAATAAATTAGAAATTAAAAAAAAAAAAAAAGGTGTACTTCTGAATCATGGGTCACTGTTACTATCATCCTGTGGAGGGAGAAGTTAAGGCATAAGAAAGTGAAGGGACAGGGTCACAGCAACACTTAGAATTCCTGATGCCACTGACAATAGAAATGGCAGGTTTACGTACAAAGGTTAGAGCTAAAGGGTTTCTTCAATGCTCTGCAGGCCCTGGGCCAGTTCCGGACCCCCCCCCCCCCGGAGGTCTTAAAGCCTTGAGCAGAACAGAAACTCTAGAATCCCGGCTCTTTCAGTCAAGAGCCCCATCTCACCTGGGAGGCTGAATGGAGAATACCCTAGGATGAACTCAAAGCAGGCTGTAACCATGGAGCTTTTACTAAACGAGGAGGATTGGTTAGGAAAAGTCCAGTTGAGGTTGGTATTTTTCTGAATTAAATGATTTTGGTATTAATTTAGGATGTAAGATTGGTCATTGATATTGAAGGTCAGACACCCAAATGAACAGGAACATTATTGAGACATAAGTTAAATTCTCTCCCAAAGAGTAACGGTTTGCTTTTGGTGTGCATACTGATGTCACCAAGGCATGGCATTTCTTATTCTTGACTTCTTGGCTATATACATGGCTTGCTTAAAAAACAAACAAACAAACAAACAAATAAATAAAAAAGCCATTTTATAGGACTCATTTGACAAAAACTTCTATCTTGGAAGTGAACATGACCTTTATTTTACTTTTCTCTGTCTAGTTTATTTAACGTGAGTATTCTTTCTGCCCCATTTTAAAACGATTTAAACTCATACAGTATTAACATCATCAAGATGATCTCTTCTCACCTCGTAGTCCTTAAACAGTTGGCGCATGAAGAAAAGCCACCCAAATCCGAAGAAAAGTATCTGAAGGAGAAAGAAGACAGAAAGTCAGTACACAAAGCTTTTGATAAATGCCTTATAGAGTATTTTATGATAAAAGGTCTGCTAACAGATAGTTAATTTCAGATATTAAAGATGAGACCTACTCATAAAAGATCTATTTACTGAAATCCTCAACATTAGGAGTAGATATTAAAATACTCTTCAATCTTTGAAATTATCCATGGTTTAGAATGTGTTTTAAGTTAGAGAAAAATTAAAGTATGTTTTTCTTGTAATCTTTTTTTTTTTTAAGTTTTCTTTAAAAAATGTATTTTATTGATTTTAGAGAGGAAGGGAAAGAGAGAGAGATAGAAACATCAATGACGAGAGAGAATCGTTCACTGGCTGGCTCCTGTACCATCCCCCCTTACCCTTACTGGGGGTGAGCCCGCACTCTGGGCCTGCGCCCTGACAGGGATCGAACTGTGACCTCCTGGTTCATAGGTCAACGCTCAACCACTGACCACACCGGTCGGGCTTTCCTATAATCTTAATGATAATCCTTTTATGAGCCAGAAAAGTTAGCAAATAAAAAGAAGTCAGTGAAACTTGCTGTTTTACAGATGATCCCTGTTTGCAAGTATTTCAAAAATCAACAACAAACAACTTCATGGGAAAGAAGTTATGATTTAAAAAAAAGAAAGTAGTAGAAACAGTAATTTTCCTTCGTGGGGCCTTCTTAGCTTCTGTAGCATGCTTCCTAACCCAGATAAAGTGGTTTCCATCTCAGTGCAAATGCAAGCGACTGCATGTACCACTTGGTGGGTTTGGTTCATCAGAGGCAGCAGCCACATGGCAGCTCTGTTCAGTGCTCAGAAGCTGGTTTGTCTCCCACAAGTAAACAGAACCTTCTACACATATCCCCCCCCCCCCCCCCCCCCCCCAACTCTCTCTCTCCCTCTCTCTCTCCTCTTATATTGGCTAGGAACTTTATTGAAGAATAAAATCCTTTATGCCTTCCCAATGAATTGAGGAGCAAGGGTGAACTCTGGGGCACAGTTTAACGGAGATTCCTCCTCCTCTTGCTGTGCTCCTCCTACTCACCAAGTCCTAGCTTTAGCCGCATGGAGCTGCCTTTGGCTCAGACACACAATGCTTCATATCAAGACCTTGCAGACTCTCCAGTCCCCTCCCACGTACCCTCCAGGTCCCCATATACCTCTGGAAGGCCTCCTCCCAAATCAAAACAAGTTGCTCTTTTTACATGATCCCTCTTCTGCCCCCCTTCCCCTATCAAAGCGCTTACCATACACGTTTCCAATGTCTAATTTAAATAGATAGATTTTTATTCACTACCCACTTATGATTAAAAAAAACTCTCAACAAAACATCAAAATACCAAACTAAAGTTTTTGCACAGTGAAGGAAATTATCAACAAAATGAAAAGACATCATACCAATGGGATAAGATGCACCCAATTAGGGGTTAATATACAAAATATAAGGCACTTATAAAGTCTAATACCAAAAACTCCATACAATCCAATTAAAAAATGGCAAAGAACCTGAATAGACATTTATCCCAAGAGGACATACAGACGGCAGATAGACATATGAAAACATGCTCAACATCACTAATCATCAGAGAAGTGCAAATTAAAACCACAATGAGATACCAGCTTACACCTATCAGAACGATTACCCTCAATAAACCAAGAAACAGCAGTGTTGGTGAGGACGTGGAAAAGAGAACCCTCACGCACACTGGTGGGATTGTAAATTGGTGCAGCCACTATGGAAACCAGTATGGAGAGTCATCAAAAAATAAAAAACAGAGCTGCCAAATGTCCCAGCAATTTCACTTCTTGGTATTTATCTGAAAAAAACAAAAACACTAATTCCATAAGACACATGTACCCCTATGTTCACTGTAGCATTACCAGTAATAGCCAAAATAAGGAAGTAAACTAGGTATCTATTGATAGATAAATGGATAAGATGATCTCTCTCTCTCTCTCTCTCTCTCTCTCTCTCTCTCTCTCTCTCTCTCTTCTCTCATATTACTCAACAATAAAAAGAATGAAATCTTGCCATTTTCAACATGGATGGACCTAAAGGGTATTATGCTAAGATAAAAAAGTCAGCCCTAACCGGTTTGGCTCAGTGGATAGAACGTCAGCCTGCGGACTGAAGGGTCCCAGGTTCGATTCCGGTCAAGGGCATGTACCTTGGTTGCAGGCACATCCCCAGTAGGGGGTGTGCAGGAGGCAGCTGGTCGATGTTTCTCTCCCATCGATGTTTCTAACTCTCTATCCCTCTCCCTTCCTCTCTGTAAAAAAAAAAAATCAATAAAATATTTTTTAAAAAGTCAGACAGAGACAAGTACTCTGTGATTTCACTTACATGTGGAGTGAGGGAGCTATATGACAAGATACACTGGAGGGCATAGAAAGAGACCAGGAAGAAGGAGAAGGAATGGTCATGATTTCACTTACATGTGGAATCTAAACAAAACAAAACAAATGAACAAACAAAAAAGAAATAGATGCATAGTTATGGTTGCCAAGGGGGAGGGGAGAGCAGGGATGGGAGACATTAAAAAAAATCAAACACTTATTGGTAAGTTGTATAAGCTAAATTAAAAAGAAAAACAAATGATAAGTGCGCCAGGCACACACTAAGTGCCCAGTAAATGTTGTGTTAATATTCTTGCTACTTTTACTCAGGGATAGTGAGGCACAAAGTTTGAAAGGGGAAGTAAAAGAAAAACTAGGGAATTTCAGTCAACTACAAAAAGACTAGAAAACCACAGGAAAAAAGACTAGAGGCAAGGGTAAATTTTTAAAAACAGACTCACGCCTAAAATAAATTAAAAATATGTAAAAATAAGTAAAACAATATGCAAAAAACAACTTAGAAACAATGTAACTATTAATGCCTAGATAAACATAAGGGGAGAGAAGATATAAAGTTGCTTCGATGTACTGATTAACTTATCTTTTATAACATGAGTCCAAAGAATATTGAAACTGATAAGTCAACTAATAGATGTAAAAGAACACTTAAGGGTTATATAAAGATATATAAAAGTACAAAGGATATTTAAACATAGAAATACTAGAACAAAAAGCATAATCCTATATAATAAAACCCTAATATGCAAACTGACTGAACTGTAAATGACCGGTCACTATGATGTTCACTGGCCACCAGGGGGCAGACGCTCCACACAGGAGATCAGTGCACTCCCACAGGGAGAACGCTGCTCAGCCGGCGAGTGCAACGGTGGCAGTTCCGACCCCTCAGGCTGAGAACTACTAGCAGGATCGCCTAAGACCTTTGGAAAACAGATATTTACATTCTGATTCATTAACAGTAGCAAAATTACAGTTATGAAGTAGCAACAAAAATAATTTTATGGTTGGGGGTCACCACCACATGAGGAACTGTATTAAAGGGTCGCAGCATTAGGAAGATTGAGAACCACTGGCCTAGGTTAAGAGGTAGGAAGTGGAAGGAAATCACACCTTTGATCTCGCTTTTGTTAATAAAGTAGGAGGTAAGGCCATCTGCTAGGAGTGCAGAGGTGAGGAGGGGAAAAAAGGACTTTGAAGAGAGTGATAAAGACACAGAGTATGATGAGGGGAATGGAACAAGTAGCTAATTGAGGTAAAGAAAAACACACCACGACTCAGTGTCCATCAACTCATGGCACTGGCAAGCCGCACAACTGCCTGATTTTCTACATCAGCCTTCAGGTCCTGAGTTAATAACGGACAAGCTACAGCAGTGACCCAAGTGTGGAGTTTTGTATGTAGGTAAAGAAACAAGAAGGTATGAGAAAGCAGTTTTGAAATATGAATCCAGACCGAGAAGAGGGGTGAGCAGATTAGGAGAAAATACCCCTAGACCACCCAGGAGACCCTCTGGCTACTACCGTGTTTCCCCGAAAATAAGACATCCTCCGAAAATAAGACCTAGCGCATGGAAAGATAAGACATCCCCTGAAAATAAGACCTAGCACAACTTTGGGAGAAAAAATTAATATAAGACACTGTCTTATTTTCGGGGAAACAGGGTATAAATTACTACGAGAGAAGACATTTAAGTTGAGAGTATAAGGCCATGTTTATATGACTTAAGAAGTCATGTCTGCAGTTGGGGGATTTAGGCATTTAGGACTGGGAGTGGTATGACGAAGACAGGTGATTAAAAAGGTAATCTATAACACTAAGAGCACCTGAAATGGATCTTTATTTTTATTTTTTTTAACATATTTTATTGATTTTTTTATAGAGAAGAAGGGAGAGAGTTAGAAACGTCGATGAGAGAGAAACATCGACCAGCTGCCTCTTGCACACCCCCTACCGGGGATGTGCCCGCAACCAATGTATTAATACATGCCCTTTACCGGAATTGAACCTGGGACCTTTCAGTCCGCAGACCAATGCTCTATCACTGAGCCAAACCGGTTTCGGCTTAAAATGGATCTTTAAACAAGAAAAAGAAAACAAGCAAAATGACAATAGCCGACACCGGTTTGGTTCAGTGGAAAGAGCATCGGCCTGTGGACTGAAATGTCCCGGGTTCGATTCCGATCAAGGGCATGTACCTTGGTTGCAGGCACATCCCCAGTGGGGGGTGTGCAAGAGGCAGCTGATCGATGATTCTCTCTCATCGATGTTTCTAACTCTCTATCCCTCTCTCTTCCTCTCTGTAAAAAATTAATAAAATATATATTAAAAAATGACAATATGAAAGGAGGGGAAATGGAAGACAAAGAAAAATAAATCTATGCTTTTAATATTTCTTTGTGGGCTCCTTTCACATCGACAAAAAAGCTTAAGACTTTTACCAAACTAATAATAATAAAAATAAAGGGAACTGGAGAGTTAAGCCCAAGGTAAACATGAATTCTGGTAAAATTATAGAGAATCTAAAAACAAGCAGAAGGAAAAAAAGCATTTTCAAACAGTTTTGCAAATAAAAGGTGCACAGCTTCTTATTAAAAAATTAATATTTTAAAAATTGTATGGTCTTGA